TCTATAAAACAAATCTTTACATCGTCTATTTCTAAAATGAGAAGCTTATGGACTAGCACTCTCAGTTATATTACAATACGGCTATGGGCCCTGAGCCAAAGATATTAGCTTCACAGCGATGTTAAGCCCAGGATCAAGCTAAGGTTAGGCCCTGATTTGTGTATGATTTTTCAAATGACAACCGGGACGATAATCAAAATATTCAGAACAATAAAGGATTATCTATTTCCGTGGCTGCACTCTGCGCCATCTGTTGAGGAATAGGGCGGGGGGTGAATAATGTTGTTCACTTGTGTGTGTATACTGTATGTGTTTACATTACAGAGGCACTTATACATATACAGTACTATTCCCATTTGCAATGAAAAGATGTGTGTATTGGTGGCTTTGATACAAAATGTTGTAACAACAGAATATGACATCTGAAATCCCCTGTTCTTCTTTTCTACATGGAATGTAGCTGATACTTTTATCTAAAGCCACTTACATACACTTTTGTACCATAGACTTGGCAGCAATTTGGGGTTCAGTCAGAATCAGAATTCCTTTATACGTCCCAGAGAGGGGAAATTAACAGAAAAGAAACTGTATAGATAGAGACGAAAGATAACACACTATTAGATAAAAAGGCATGCACATAGTATTTAAAATAAAATATCTTTCCGAAGGACACTGGCTGATGTTGAATCCAAGGGCTGAGGATCAAACCACGGACCAATTGGTAGATGCCAATTTAACCTTTATGTATTTTCTTTCACTCCTTGGCACATTTTGTCATTAAATCAAATAGTCTCACCTTTGTCATCACCATCCTCTTTTCCACTTTTACAACATCAACATCTCAGCCCCTCCCCTGACTCCCCCTCCCCTCTGTGCCTCTCTCTCAGTGGGTGAGTCTGGGGCTGCATCACAGTCAGATGACACTGTCTGACTCGGCTCTGCTGTAATCTGACATGGCTAATCTAATCTCTCTGTCTTCGCAGATTGGCAAACTACCTAGGTCTTTCCAGCCAATTAAGGCCCATCTGTACAGCACGCCATGCCCAGCCAGCATGGTTGGGCCGCTGCAGGGCTCAGGCTGTCTGGAGCTCAATATATCTGCTTCCATAACAGCCCATCTGCCTGTGGCTTGGCATGGTCCACTTTCATCCCCCATGGCCCCAATAATTAGGGATCCTCTGCAGCCTTTACAATTGAAGCACTTGTTGCCATACAGTTGTTAGGTAATCACCAAAGTAATGATTCATCACTAAGTGAGCTTCTTTGGCAGCAAATACATTTGTATCATCATTTGGCAATTCAAAGAAAGTACATTTTGTACATAAAACACCATAACATGATATTTCATAAATGTATTTTTCAAGCATTTGCAGTGTAAGATGTAGCAAATAAAAACCACAATATAGTTTTTCTTTAAACAACCCATTTTTTAAACAATAGCAATTTAATCATAATTCATCATAACATTAGGTGTGGCTTTTATTAGTTTTGATTATCATTTTTGCTAACTAAACTGAAGCTACTTTTTCACTATCAGTGCACTCTAAACTTTATGACCTATCAAACATGTAACATGCATTTTCTTTTTTCAGACAAAGACTGTTTTCCTTTTTATAAATAAAGTACAAACAATGTGAACCTATCATTGTTGAGATTTAAACAAAGAAAATACATTTTATTTTCCCTGCATACACTAGAAAAGTTGCTGCTGACTTCTATATAATCAGATACATATATAACCATTGAGACTGAGAGGTAAATACACTGAAATAAGGTCAGAGGCCTTCTAACAGCTTATTTTCTCATCAAGCCAGTCTCACTTAATCACCTTAGCTAAATTAGTTTGAAAATTAGCCCTCTTTCTAACTCCCTGTCCCACCATCTCTCCCCTCCTGTCCCCCCCCCCTTTTCTTCCCAGCCGTTTTCACAGCTTTGTGGATTAGACAGATTACACGTCTGAAACTCTGTTTTTCTTCTTTTCTCTGTTTTAGTTCCTGTCCCTCCATCTTGAGGGGCTGTTAATCCTGGATGCATACTGTCTCAACATGTTGTTCTACCTTCATACATTTAACAGCTGAGTTCACCATAAAACAAAAAAAAGATCCAGTGATGGAATGTTATAAGATCATGATCATAATGTGAGGGAAAGCCACAGTTACACTCTTTACCGCTTGACTTACTGGAACAGCAGTTGGGGAATAAAGCAAGACTCTGAAAAAACCGAACCTTTCAATGAGTTTGGGAATTATGTGGTGTGACATTTAGGTGTGGCAAAGAAATAACGTGGAAATCCCTTCAAGTCCAGACATATCTCTTGTTGGCACTGACACATACTGCATGTAAAAATAATAATAATCGCATGTGGTTTAAAGTTGATTATGGTGCCGTTTACACAAGGACAAAACGGCTTGTATCTGCATAGTTTCTCTTGCGTATAGCCCTATTATTTACATGAGGCCGATAGAAACGGACCCCACAAACGATAACGGGTCCCAAGGTGGATAGATTTGCAAACAAAACTCTCTGGGGGGTCAAACGAGTCCGTGTAATCGCCTCTATACGAATATTTCCTGAAAAAATAACGATAGCCCCACCTCTCCCCACCTCTGCTGCTCACTGCTGTAGCATGGCCAGTAGCCATCTGTAACGATCAACTATCAAAAATAGCTGTGTTAATTAAACGCACAAGGGGTTCTTGAATGAAATAATATTATAAAAGGCAAACCAGAATTGTTAACGCCCAATATACTCCTTAAACAAAATAAACAGAGTCAGATTTCATTCATTGATCCATTATATTGACAATTTTCCAGCCAAACAACACAAACAAAATTAAACAGTCCGCTCTGCGATACACCAAAATTGTCTTTACTGCCTAATCCAGGCCATTATTGTTCATTGCTCCTGCGCCCGTCGGCGGCAAAAAGAGAAATGTTTGTAGGCCTATTCAGGCTATAATCCACACAAAAAAAGGAAACGCGAGGACCGGCGTGTCCCAGAGGAGCGATCTCACCCGGTGTTTGTAGAGAATATCTCTCTTTCTGAGCGCGTCCTCTCCACGGAGACGTGCTTCTTGGTCGGTCGATGCAATATCCACAGATTCGGTTTCTTTCAGTTAACTTCCCCGTTGCATTTATCCATATATTTACATGCTGAGGAAATTACTATATCCTGCTGAATACCAGCAATCGCCACACACACTTCCTCCTGTCAGTAGCTACTGCTAGTGCTACTGCTACTGACCATGCTACAGATGTTAGTGCAAAATCTACAGCTCCTCTACCACAACCATCAGCAACAAGTGGACATGGAGAATTACATGAACTACATGTTGCTAAATCCACCGCGGGGCATAAACAGAAGGGTAGCCATGGCAACATTGCTCCGGGGTCTTCTTCGCTGCTTTTGGTGTATTTTGTGGCGGAAGTTACAGCGCCACTTACGGGCCGTCTCCACAGCAGCGTTAAAAAATCTTGAAACGCTTCTGCCCATTCACTTTGAATGGGGTGACGTCACTTTCCCTCACTTTTCGCCGAAATGCATTGTGGGCAGGCGAGCGGAGATTCTTAGGATTTTCAAGATTCAAAGTTGAACAATGTTCAACTTTTGAAGCTGAGGTGGAAGCGGCAGCCAATCAAATCCCGTGTACGCAAATCTGGCAGTTCAAGCTCTAGCCAATCAAACGGCGTGTATGCTGGGAGAGACATACCGCAGGTCATTTCCTCATATTCCAAAAAATGGAGGAGAAATTAGCGGTAGCGAATCAATCACCCGGTGCTTTATGACCAGACCTACCGGGATATAAACCGGAGGAGCCAGGCATGGAGGGAGGTGGCAGAGACAGTGGTATGTTTTCGCCTGTTTTGGGGAGTTTATATCCAGTTTACTTCGGGCTTTTTGGCTTCGTATGTCGCGGGCGGGAGATTCATGTGATTGGTTGATCGCAAAAAAATCCCCAAGCCTCAGATACGCCCACCTCCAAGATTTTTTTAACGCTGCTGTGGAGACGGTCCGTTACAGTCCCGGCATATGTAGTACAGCGTGTCCAGCATTTCCAGCGGTCTCGTTTGAACAGACACGTTAAATGAAACGAATGCCTGTGAACGGAAGACTTTTTTGAAAACGCATACTGTGCATAAACGCAAACGTTCCCGTGTGCACAACGCCTATATATTACATGATAGGTGTTGTTGATGACAAACAAAGGCTTTTATTTTGTTGTTCAATGATTGCACTATTATAAGTGATTTGATTTATAGCCAGAAATACTGCCTCCAAGGAAAAAAGAACGAAAGATGAGTCATTTGATTGTCAAAGGATTCTTTTTGTAATCCCTATTTAATTGGAGTTTAAAATTCAATAGAAACCATATATTTCCGCTGTAGGCTACTACAACAAAGGAATTGCAAGAGTGCTTTAAGCAAGAACTCCAAAGCTAAAAACGTCAGTTAGTTGATGAGTCAAGTGAAAAAAATCAACTATTGATAACCAATAAATCATTCAAGTCACATGATAAGAACATGTGCCAATGATTTGCACGCAGCATTGAGGACTTATAGTTTCAATTGAATTTAAATTATTTTAGGTTGCGGTCTGAAGTATTGTCTTGTAGCTTTTTTCTGATAAGTGGAGTCCAGTATTTTATCTTATTCCGATCAAAACAGATTTTATAACACTAGTTTTAGCAAAGTGTTCATGTGCATATGCTCTCACATACTGACATCAGGCAGTGTGCATGAAGACACGTCTCCTTTTCTGTTTCATTATGAGCCAACAGTGTTTATTGAAGTGTTTGTTCTGCGGTTTTTGCATATAATAATTTTTTGTTAGGTTACCAATACCACATGACATTTTTAATAGTTATAAATTGCGCAAGTGATATACATTAAAAAAATAAATGCGTGCGCGCACTAACAGTTTTGGACTTTTTGGCTTTCCATATTTCGTGACACATCACTTCCTGTATATTACACGGTTTGTAAAAACGTGTCTGGTGTCTATTATATATTTGAAAAAAATAATGCTTTCACTTTCACTTCAAGGCTCCATTGATTCGGTGGAGACGCTGCACTTGAACACAACTTCAATAATACAATAAACTAAAGTATCAGCAGCAGAAAGGCGAATTAGGGAAACAGAAAAACTTTAGGAAACTCCGCCATGGCGTTTAAGTACCCGGCTGCCCGAAGAGATGAGAGTAAGGTCAGTGTCGAAGTCCTGCGGTGAGATTTCTTTCTGTCTGTTAGCCATTCCGTGAAATTCTCTGCTGTAAACTCACAAGTAGGAAAAGCGACACGGAAGAGAAAGACAAGTTATATCGGTGGCGGTGAAGGGTTAGAGAAAGGCAAATGGCAACGCAATGAAGAAACAAAACTTTGAAACCAAAAGAAAAACGTTCTTGTTGTAATAACTAGTCACGTTTACTGTTTCGAAATGTGTTGACTCGTGCAGTTCAGGAAAAGCAAAATGGACACCCCACGAGATGTTTTTAAGGTGTGTCGAAGCTAGCATTATTTTAGGTTTCATTATAACTGACAACTGGTTCTCGTAATGCAGTATTCCTTCCTTTGCAGGAAAGTAGCCAGTCTGTTATTGTTGTTTCCTATTGTCCTACGCAGTCTAACCCAAGCTAGTCCATAAAACAATTTTTTAATTAAGCACATGATAAACCCTAACCCACCATATTTATTTATTCATTCAACCTATAAGATACATGTTCTGTAATGTATCTGCCAACTTGATGAATTAACTTTTAAATATTTGTCAAAGCCTCCACCAAACTAAATTAGCAGCCTAAAGCTGTATGACTTTATTTTGTTTAATGATTGATAAATATGTATTTTACAGCTATTTTGAATATTTAAAATAAAATGCTGCAGAATGGATGTCTTATTTTAAGGTCTTGTTTTGTCTGATCTATACTCTAAATCCCAGGCATTTTGAATATACTATAAAAATAAAAATGATTAAAATGATAATAAAACAGTGATTAACATTGTTGCTTCCGTCAAATAATGACAACCAAGCACCAAAATGAGCCTTTGAAAACCCAAAATGCGTCACTTCCTTTAAGGGTATCACAACCAGTAAATGAGGATGTGACCTGGCCCTGAGAGTTTATTTTTATAATGTCTATAACTTGGACTTTTGCCATACTATAAAATTCAGCAGTGTTTGCATGTGACACACTAGTATCACCCCTTAATTGAGTGAGGCATTGCCAGAATTGTTCACGTATCAGTTGAAGAAAATACACGATTATGTTACAAAACACTGGGAAATGAGCTATGACAGAATTAGGGCAAATAATAATAATAATAGTGTCATAGTAAACCCTTTTACTGATTTATGGGAAATTATAAATGTTCAAGATAAAAACTTTAGTCCGTCTGATAAACACTATAATTTACCCAAATATCATCTTATTGCAGAAATCAATTATATTATTCTCAGATTTAACAGATTGAGTATTTGAACTTAAAGGTGGGGTAGGTAATTTTGGAGAAACCAGCTCGAGTGCGCTAGAATTTGAAAATACACAACCGAAAAAAATCTGCCACTTCCTTACAGAGCCCCTCCTCCAACACACACGAACGTGCACATGACCAGTGAGGGCAAGAGATAAGTTTGTGCACAGATGGAAGGCTGACAGGCAGGTAGGCCATCCAGTTATTTTAGCCGGGCCGGCTAAAATGATTGGTCGTGCTTTTTACAGCGCTACGGCTTCCACAGATGACATTTTTTTATGTATTTATTGTCAAAGCATTTAAGATATTCATTGCTATTGGGATGTTAAGAGCATTCCATGGAATATAACAAAAAGTGTTTCTGAAATAAATTACATACCCCACCTTTAACCAACTTAATTTATATCAACCAGCTCACTGACTGTAATTTGTGCCCCAACCTTTGCCACAGTTTGGTGTACCAATCAAATAAAAATAAACATGATTCCAATAAAAGGTGAAATTATTATAAATGATTATGCAATGCTTCTCAAATAATGGACATGATGATCTGATGCAATTTCTGGAAACCTAACAAGAACATTGACAAAGAGTCTTCCCACCTGTGTATCAAAGTCATTGTTTCGTAATCCCCCAAAGCAGCACTCTTAATTCCTGTGCTGACAAGCAACAAGTTGACAAGGCAAACATGAATGACACATTTATAACATGGAGGTGCTCTTCAATTTTACAGCATGGACTGAAGAGGGAGGGAGAGAGGGGTTGCCACAATAGCATGGCATGGCAAGACAACTCTCCATCAAGAAAATCAAGTTTCTACGCCAACGAATGAGAAAAGTTGTTGTTTTTACGTTGTAGGTGGATGACCATCATGGTACAAAGATCTGTGATCCCTACACCTGGCTGGAAGACCCTGATAGTGCAGAAACCATGGTATGTATTGATCTCTTTAAGAAAGCAGAAGCAGTGTCAATACCAGTGGCGAGCCGTGACTTTTATACCTAGGCCCTCTAACCCCCCCACCCCTCGAAAAAAAAGAAGAGTTATTACGTCACAGCCTTCAAGTCTATGGTCACAGCGTATACTTCAGCGGAATATCAAAACAGCGGCCCGGGGTGCAAAACGCATCAATGACAGCGACCCTCTACCACACAAAACAACACCATTTATATAAACACCTATCATGACAGGGCACCCACAGCCAAGTAACAATTACAAATGAATTAAGTCGGCACGGCGGCCCACATTGAAAATGACTTGGGCCTACCTTTGATGATCAAATCACTTAAACACAAAGTCCATCCTCCTGTCCTTTTGGATGAAGCACTTGATGGCGGGGTCATGCAGCTGATCCTTTGCCACTCCAATTTATCATTGTAACTCACTCTTGAAAATGACTCGGTTAATAATTTCGCAACGATGTCATCACTATCACTGACATGAGCCATCATGAACGAACTTATGCTATCATAAATCTATCGATCATAAATCTATCGATTAGATTTATGATTAGAAAATTATAAAAGTAGGGTAGACATGTGGATATTATCCGGCTGAACAAAACGTGCATTTATCTAACAGGTTAGTTTTCCACAGACCTTATTTCAAGTTATTTTCCAAAACCCTATGGAGAAATCCCATTGCTTTTTTGTCGAGGGAACCCAAGCGCAGCTTACTTCCGGGTTTTAGGACGCGTCACTGCACCACTATATACACATGCATAAACTTCACAGCGGGCGGAACTTGTCATAAAGTCCGCGAAAAATAAAGCCCACCCATTTAGAGGGAAGATATGATTGGTCAATTGTACTGTCATTTGACATTACTCTCTCATTGAGTTACTATAGCGGGCCCTCTGTAAATCGCAGAGAGGGCCAGACGAGCTTCTTTCATTTAACCTTTCACATTCCAACAGAAACTGAACAGGCAGATTCGAAGGATTTATTTCTTTGGAAATGTTATTTTAAATACAATTAAATCAAATTATTTTTGGTAAAACTAATGAAAAATATAACTAAAAAAATATTTTAAAATGTTTTCAAATACTATTTTTTAGAATATCTTAGGCCCTCAGAGAGGGCCCTGACGGCTCGCCACTGGTCAATACCCACAACTTAACAAATTCCACCCCTCCTCTCTCTCTCCTTCTGATTCAGGCTTTTGTTGAGGAGCAGAACAAACTGACCATGCCATACCTGGAGCAGTGCGCTGTCCGGGCTCAGTTCCACCAGCGCCTCACTGAGCTCTATGACCATCCCAAATACAGCTGCCCCTACAAGAGAGGGAAGAGGTACTAGTAAAAGAGAAGGCATTAGTCAGACTGAAAAACACTTACAGAGAGAACTACTTTTAACTGCAGGTCTGAAGTAAATAAAAACTATAAAGAACGACAATTTTCCATTTTTATTTCAAGGTACTTCTACTTTCATAACAAGGGTCTCCAAAACCAGGAAGTGCTGTATGTGCAGGACTCTCTGGATGGAGCTGCCACTGTATTCTTTGACCCGAATACACTCTCAGAAGATGGCACTGTGGCTTTGAGAAGTGAGTCCAGGCACATATTTTGCATGTTATTATAAAGAAAAAGATGTTAGGGCTGAATCCCTCTTTATTTTCTTTGTCCCTCTCTCCATCCAGTGGGCCGCCTGTCAGAGGAGTGTGAATATTTTGCCTATGGTTTGAGCAGCAGTGGTTCAGACTGGGTAACAATTAACTTCATGAAGGGTGATGACCTCACCATACTTCCTGATGTACTGGAGAGGGTTAAATTCAGCTGCTTGGCATGGACCCACGAAGCCAAGGGCATCTTTTACAACTGCTACCCGCGGCAGGAAGGCAAAACTGATGGTGAGGAACACAAAACGCTCCAAGCGGAACAACACCTATTCCAAGTTAAATCAAGACTAAACCCCTCTTTTTTTCTTCACTAAAGGCACAGAGACTACATGCAACGTCAATCAGAAGCTGTACTACCACGTCATCGGCACCAAACAGTCAGAAGACATTCTGGTTGCAGAGTTCCCCGAACATCCCAAGTGGCACAGTTCAGTCACCGTAAGTCCAAATTTATCTAGAACCACTTATTATAATCCCCTATTTGCAATCAGGACAGTGGTGAAATAAATATGGAGATCCTTTACTAATGTAAAAGTTGCCTCCTTCTATCTATCTTTCCCTTTTTTTCTTTCCCTTCTCTTTCCAGATATCAGATGATGGCAGATATGCTGTTCTGTCCATCACTGAAGGATGTGAACCTGTCAACCAGCTGTGGTACTGCGACCTTCAGCAGCTCCCCAATGGCATCACAGGTCTGTATCTGTGTGACAAATTCCCAGCAGACATTTAAGCATTTCAATAATACAAGAATGCACATATTTTATAGAGAATTAGGACCACTCTGTTTTGCATGTTTGTTAGAATCTGATGCTGGACCAGATGCAAATGATGTCTTTCAAATATACAAGCATTCATTAATATTATTGATCCCAAAAGTGATCCAAACTGGTGGTAGATAGCAACTTCGTATCATTTTGAACAAAATGTTGATGTTGATAGGATACCTGCCCAAAGTATCTTGATGACAATACTAAAAACAATTCCACAGCCAAAACTTAAAATTCAGTAAAAATAATAAAATCTAAATATAATGGATTAATATACTGCAGTACATGGAACTGAAAGTGCTTGTTTTGCTTTTGAAAATTATTATTATAGTATTAATTATTTTATGGTAAATAAATGTCTCTTGCAACCTGCCTCAAAAAAGTTGAACAGTACTTAACTTTGATCTGCCATGCTTTGTTAGTTTCTTGAATTTGAACTAACTAGGGTTAGTTTGAACTAACCCTAACCCTAATTTGGGGAATTGGACCTGGAAAGTTTTTTTAAACTTTAATATTTAAGAATTTGGAAATGTCTTTGAAAATGTCTTGTTTTGTTTGACCAAACCTGTCCAGTTAAAATCTTCTCACTTTCATATTGTTTAACAAAGGCTGCATTGAAACATTACATATTAATGCTATTGTTCAACACACATGTTTCTCAGATCGAACATGGATTGATTGAAATCAAGACCAGTTTTTGAGTGGACATTTTATAGCAGCAATAGATATCTCTACAGCTTCCTGACACAAAATGAACGTGCTGTGTAAGCAGAAAAGGGGTTGATGCCGATGGCTGTCGACTCATCGGTTACTTCACCAGATGTTGATATTTCAAAATTCACTTTCCCAGTTATTTTCTGCTTCATAAAAATGATCTCACAAACCCTTTGACCCTTTCTAGTTAAAGCCAATTGGGAAATGTGTGATTGGTCATTACAATCCATTATATTTCAGGTGTTTTTATTCGCTGCGTTAGAGATAGTTATTCAAACTCCCAATGGTCAAGGAAACAGATGAAAAAAATTAACATGATGCACCTTTTATTTTAAACTGTTAGTAATTTATCTTCTTTACTAGGCCTGCTTCCATGGGTCAAACTTGTGGACAACTTTGACGCCCAGTACTCGTATGTCACCAACGAGGGAACCGTGTTCACTTTCCACTCTAACTTGGACGCTCCTCGGTACTGTCTCATCAACATTGACATCCAGAAAGCAGACAGGCAGCACTGGACTACCCTCATCCCCCAGCACGACAAAGATGTCCTGGGTGAGTGAAAAGGCAAAGTCTGCTTTGATGTACACCTGTTTAGTATCAGTTCTCTACAGAAGAAGTCCAACACATCTTAAAGCAGCAGTTTGACTGACGATGTGTAAAACAAATCTTTGTTGGAAAATGAAAACGGTGGGTTTGTTTGGAGCGTGTGAAAACTCCACCATACTTAGAAATGCGTAAAGGGCATGTACGTGGTGACGAAGTTCCACAATTGAGCTCCTATAATCTTGCACAACAGTCTGTCCTACTGTTTCGATGACAGTCCAACCACAACAACTGGGAAGTTCTGTGCCTGTGGTCGAAGAACTCCGTCAGAGGGAACTCTACTAAAAAGTGAAACTTGACCAACAAGCATTTTGTTTTTGGTGTGAGTCATAAATGACGGTAACTGCACCTAGAGATTACTAAAACACAGCATAATATTGAGTACAAATATGGTGAACCCTTCTGCTATCATATAAATGAGGTCTTCATAGTAATAAATGCTGACACTGTTGTGTAAAAGCACTTCATTTGAGCTTATGGCTGCATACAATTACTTTATGATATGTTATAAAGCTCAGATGTCTTTATTCTGCTTAAAATTCTGAATATGGTTAAATGTAGCTTAAGTAAAGTGATACTGAATGATACTGATATCACATATTTAAAAAATATAAATCAAATCATAATACAACATATTTTAAAAATATTTTTCAAGGAATTAGTTATGTTTGTACAGTATGCATATCCCGTATGGGTAAAGCAACATATACACATGTTGCCATGGTATCAAGCAATTTAGTGTATGCATTCGACAGTAAGAAGTTGAGTTACATCTGACAATACGTTTTTTATGGTTCTCAAACAGATCTTTTAAATAGCCTCATAAAAGGTCAAGAATTAGTTCAGTCATGCTTCTTACATCTTGGTAATTTGCCCTTATATGGATGGTGGTGGTTGTGGGCATCAGACTGTTGAAAATATTGTGCCAAATTTAAAGTCAGTTTAATCTGTGATGTCCTTGCCTTCACACTGATGCCACTTTGGGGCAAAATGCCACATATGGGCTGAAGTCGAATAGTCCATTTAGCTTAGGAACCTTCCTAACGGAGTGAAATGACCCGGAAGTCCCTCAGTGGCAGCCATGATAAGTGCCGTTCGAATTCTCTAGATGATAGGAAAGGAGGTTTCAAACTTCCTTTATAACCTCCTTTAGCTTAGGAACCACTGGACCTCCCTTTACGAAAGGAGAGGAGAAAATGCTGCCCCACAATGCCTTGCAGCCGCAGCATTTGCCGTCACACAACAGTCGGCCGTTCACGGAAAAAAACGATTATGACCGAGAAATGATATCATGAAAGTTACGGTGCTTATTAAGCATTTTAAAACGTATGTGGTAAGTTGCCAAAGTGCTTTGTTTTGAACGTTCATCAGTATTATAATCAAAAAGAGAAATATGAACGTTAGTTTTTACTGAAATGATCAAATAAAGTCAACATTTCACAGTCTTTACTGAGCTGTGTGGGGTTTGTTCAACTTTTAAAAGATGTTTGAATGGTGATATACACCGTGATAGATGTTAAGGACTAACCTTTATAATAAATACATTTGTATTGATTTTAAGAACTTTTCATAGTTCATACAATCATACGTATTGGGATCATTTGTATTAATGTGGACCGGAGGGAGAGGGTGACGAGCATAAGTTTCACTTTCCTTTTTTATTTCAATTCCAACTTTGGTCATGAAGAATATGTTTCTCTGTTGTCCACGTTCATAAAGCATAAAACAACAGCATCAGAGCACGGTGCAGAGTCTCTAGATGAGTTTACAGTAGTCCCTCGTTCTTATTAAACATCCATGTTGTAGTCCGCTGTATAGAAAACTGTAGTTTCCATAGTTTCCCCACAGCAGCAGACGCACATTTATGACGTCCGCTGGCGCATCATAAACACGTTGGATAGCGAAAGTGCAGTCGGATTCTCTAAAGTACCGCAGTCTCTTCTCCTAAGTCCTTATGAATTCTCCTATCCACTATCCCTTAACCCCATGACGTTTCACTCAGAGGTCAAGGAATAGACGATAGGGTTAGACGTTAGGAGCTGATTTTTGGATTATCCGACCGCAACCGTGGTTTCACGCTCCCCTGTGTAATAAATGAGTAAACAGTACAAATGCAGTGTATTCAGCAGCAAGGACATCTGCCGTGCAGCATCCTGCACTTTACATTGATCATATATTAGACTGCCCCCTGCTGGCTGTTGATGAGATCTCATATTGTGACAGTGAAAGCATACATGGTGCATACATGTATGAAGTCTTTGCTCTGCCTGTCTTTGATTAGCATCTTTACATGTGACATCTCATGTAATGTTGCTAATAAATAAGGTGTTGTGCAATCGAAAGCCATTGTATTTGGCTTCATCCCAGGATGACATGACTTATTATTAGTAAGATAAATGGCAGAAAGGAAGTCGACAGAGATAAAAACATTTAAAAAAAGAAAACAAGTAAACTATTTCTGTGGGAACCAGCTGAGGGACAAATAAAGGGTTTCTGATCCTGATACACATGTTGTTATGTTCACTCTAACACACATCCCTCTGCAGGCCTTGTCTCCTGTGTGAACCAGCACCACCTGCTGGTCAACTACCTCCACGATGTGAAGGACATCCTGCAGGTGTGCGAGCTGTCCACAGGCCAGCTGGTCAGGGATCTGCCGCTGGGCGTCGGAGCAGTGTTAGGAGTGAGCTGCAAGAAGAAGCACTCAGAGTTCTTCTACAAGTTCACCTCCTTCACTACTCCAGGTAACCATGACATATTAGTGTCTCAAGTTATAAAACTATAAATGATAAACTGTATTTTAAAAACTAATCCTACTTGAAAAGGCACAATTGCCATCAATGCTCTTGAAACAACATTTAGAAATATATAGTTTAAATGGCTTTTTTATATTTTGATAAGTTTTAGGTTAAATAAGGGATTTTTCAAATGATTTTTATGAAGAACAACACTTTCTAGTGTAAACCTATTGTTAAAAAAATTGTTTTTCATCTTTACCAGCCACCATTATTCAGTTGAACCAGTAATGAGTTAATTGCAACTCTCAAAGGTCAATTATAGAGATGAACACCACATGATGAATGCTTTATAATAGAGTTACAATAATAAATCTACATCTTATAAAACGAAACACGATATTACATAAGTTATCAGCAATAACATCATACTTTGACGGCAGCATTATGATGGTGTTCTTGTGAATCATCAGATATCTCAATAGAGCCGGGAAAGGGTTGACCCCTGCATCTCAAAACAACTGTCTTTCACTGCTCCACCAAGGTTTTAGAAGTAACATCTGCATACGGTCATTACAAGAAACCTCAAGCTTATGCATGCTCGTATTTGTAAACTTGAGCCACATAGCAAGCAGCATAAAGGGATGTTTAATATGCTCTTGTTTGACTTATCTTGACATTCTACACATGTAAAATGTTCTTATTAGCTTGAGCACATAATATATGTCACCGTCATCAGACATTTCATCTGTAATCAAGCGCTCAAGATATTTTGTTTTATCATAAACACATGGCAATAGTCCAGAGATATAACATTTTGGGAAATCGTTTTTCCTTTATCTATAAATCATGACAACACTCTTTTAGTATTTTATTGCACTTCTAAATTGACCCTCCGAGCACAAAATCAGCTGCTATTGAAATACTGCAGGAGAGGGAAATGGCCGATCGTTTGCATTCATAAAATACTGTAGTTTATCAGGGTGTAACCAATGATACAGACACTTTTACAGGCTCTTAGTTGGTCAGATATATCGTTCATGTACAGAAGGCTGGTGAAAGTAGCTCCCTGTTTAACTGTAAGGGTGTGCAATTTGTAATGTAACAAGTCTTATCGTCAAATGTTTGACTTAATATGAAAAATGTGTTAATAAAACAGGGCCCTCTTACTTATGTGACCTCTGTTCTGTGGTACCCAGGTATCATTTACCACTGTGATCTGAGCGATGCAACCCCAGAGCCCAGGGTGTTCAGGGAGGTGGAGGTAAAAGGCATCAAGCAAGAGGACTATGAGACCAACCAGGTAACATCCTCCATGTTTTATTTTTATTTGTGTAGATCATACCATTCTCAAACTACCTCATTACATTTTGTTAGTGCTGTTATGGTCTTCCCGTCATCTCACAGTTAACTCAAGTTCATGTTATTTTTATTGCATGTAATGATAGCATATTCATATCATGATGCAGACTTCCCAGAAATTGCTATGAATGAGGAAGTGGTGAATGCTGTTTGTGTCACGGACTTATCAGAAACATAGCTGATGTGCCATTCAATAATAGACATTTATCGTAAAATACAGATATAAGTACACAAATATAACTGATTTATTTGACCCTCTCTTATGTATTGACAGGTATTCTATCCCAGTAAGGATGGAACCAAGATCCCCATGTTCTTAGTTCACACCAAGGGCCTAAAGAATGACGGGACTCATCCTGTCTTCCTTTATGGCTACGGAGGCTTTGAGCATTCCTTACAGCCACACTATAAGTGAGTACACCTGCATTCTTCAGATCACACAGTTAAAACATGAATGAATTGTTGGGGGTTAGAAAATCAAAGTTGTCATGTTACTTCTAAAACCATCTGTTGCGCCCATTAGTATGGTTTATATGTTTTGTTATTTGAACACTAGATGGCGTAATGGGGCAACAGCATATAACTGGTCTCCTGGCACAGGTGCGACTGGGAGAGCAAACGTTTTTTGACCGTGTCTATCGTGTCTGTGAACACGCTGTTTTTCTTTGAAAATAAAAGATATTGAAAGCTAAACTTTGTCGTACATGGAGATTGCACGCGTCCAATTAGTTAACCCAGTTTAGTCAATCCCAGGTGATATTGAGTGGCAATAGTCACCACACCATCCTCTGCTCTCAAAGAGGTCGTCTCTGCTGGCCTCCCATCCACTATAATACAAATAATAATTCATTGCATTTCATTGCTCAAAGCGCTTTACATTACTACATATATCAGACATGTAATACATCAATACTGTGGGAATGAACCAGTGTTCCCCACCCCCCTGATCTGAGGACCAGCGCACTAGCCCACTGTTATCATATGACATTAACCAGCGAGGTTATATATGATTGCGATGATTTGTGAATGCGTAGCCAATGCGAGTGAGATGATTGCTGGATGTTGCCACTCTTGCAAACAAGCCTGCCATTGTTGGCTACTTCAGAAAAGGGACACACATTAGGGGGTCTACTTTGTGTCTGATTTCTCTGTAAATATCCGGGTGCCGGTGCAAATATATGTATCAGTGGTGCTTTAGAAACACTGTATGAATACTAAATGCCCAATGACAGAAACAACAGTATATTGTTGTTACTTTGTGAACCCTACACAATCAGCACAAATGTAACCATTGTTAACTGTAGATGAAATGCCTTCATATAGTACTTAACCACAAGGGTGGCGTGCAATTATAATTGACATGCTGAGATTGTCGAGACAAATGTAATGTATTAACATGTTTTTAATGTAGGAGTGTGATTTATATTTTTTAAATGTAATCGTACTATGCTCTTTTGCTATTTCAAATAATAAAACATCCTTTTATGTTTAGTTTTTTGACACCCTTTTATGCATATTTTGTTTATTTTCTCTGTCTGTGATCAGTGTTGCTTACCTGCTGTTTGTGCGCCACCTGGGAGGGATCCTGGCAGTGGCCAACATCAGAGGGGGGGGGCGAGTACGGCCTCACCTGGCACAAAGGTACCAACATCTAGGAGTGTACCTAGAAAGACAAAACTGTACTTAGGAGTGTGTCAGAGAGTGTTCATTAGAAAACATTAGACATAAGTGGGTGTGGTTTAATTCTACATATTCTGTTGAACTCTCTCCCCTCTCCCCCTGCCCCCACTGGACTATAACTCCCCACACACTCGGACACATATACTTGTATATTTGTATTATTGTATTTTTGTATTCGGGATTGTTGGAAACGTTATTTCGATCCCTCTGTCTGTACACACAACTGAAAGATTGACATTAAAGTTGACTTTGACTCTGTGTGTATGTGTTTGCAGCTGGCACTTTGGGGAACAAGCAGAATTGCTTAGATGACTTCCAGTGTGCAGCAGAGTATCTGATCCAGGAGAAGTACACCACGGCCAGCCGCATCGCTATCAACGGAGCCTCTAATGGAGGACTGCTAGTGGGTGAGTGCAGGATTAACGGTGTGTGTGTTATGTGTTTATTGCGACGGCGAGAGATAGAGAACAAGAAGTGTTAAATGGGTTTGAATGATATACCCTGGAAACTATTATGCAAAAGTCCATTATGTGTTAGAGGTGTTACAATCTTAAAGTTGGGGAAATTCTACCCCTACATTTTTTGTATAGCTTTAAACCTTTTAATGCACCTTTACCTTTACCCCCTCGCCATTTTCCACTAGTGAATTGCAAACTAGAGGCCTAAGCATTTTTGGATTTTGAAAATAAATAAATACATAAAATGTAGTAAACTCCCTGTAAATAATAACTCATGCATGGGTTTTTTGTGTACTGCTAGCGAGTGTAGTTGAGAGTGAAAGAGAAAGAAAGGAAATAGAGGTTTGTGTGAGTACGAAGTCAGAATTGGAATTCTAAATTGTACAGTGTGTGTACAGTTGATTTATTCGAGGAATAAATACTACAACTCCTCAGGACCCCAATTTCATTGCAACTTGCTGCTAAAAGTAAGGGGGTTAGCTTCGAAGTTAACGATAACAACTTGGGAGGATCACTGGTCCGTTACTGGTCTCAGCTACATTAATCAAAATGCATTCTTTATACTACATCTTTGGCATAATTGCTAATGTCAAATTAATCTAACAGCAGTTAGCTGCTTAGCTTCAATACATTTTCTATTAAACAGCACATTAAGCAGTGCTTAGTCACTTCATTTACCAAAGGCGGAGCTGCCATATGGCATCGCACAAACCCAACTAATGCCTCCCTCCCTGGTGTGTTGGCGGCCATTTAGGAGTGATTGTGTCCTACAGTGTGAAGTTAAGGGGATCTATGTGTGTAGTGCAGTGTGTGTATTTGAAGGGATTTTTAATACATATTTGAAATGCTCACACAGCTGCATGCGTGAACCAGCGTCCAGACCTGTTTGGCTGTGCGGTGGCAGAGGTGGGGGTGATGGACATGCTGAAGTTCCACAAGTTCACCATCGGCCACGCCTGGACCACCGACTACGGCTGTGCTGACGACCCCGAGGAATTCAAGTGGCTGATCAAGTAGGAAACACACACAAAGCGAATCAATTACACATACTTTATATTCATGAGAACGTGTTGTAGTTATTGATCAGTTAGACCAATGAAGAGTAGATGTAGCCCCCTTTATGCTACACACCAAAATTATATTTTAATATTAAAGGACACAAATATAGATAATAAGATAGGCAATACAATTAAAAGAATACTTAAAAATAGCACGCACGGAAGAAATTAAAAAGGGAATCTTCATTATAGTAGAATGTGATGTTTAACGATTTGAATAATTCATATGCTGATCATCTTCCCATTATGAGAGATTAGTTTTAAACGTCTGACTTTAGAGCAAGTTACCTCCGTCTGTCCGTCCTTTACGGCCCCTTTACAGTCAAATCCTAAAAACATATTAATTGAAAAGTCAATGGCAGCATAAATTAGGATGGCAGTGGTTTGCTGGTGGATATTTGTATCTATTTTGGTGCAGTCACATATGTTTTAATAATAGTAATAATAACAAAAAATGCTTACATTTAATTGCAACCTTCATGTCACTCAAGATTAGCTTACATAAAGTCACCTGAAAAACATAAAGCAAACAATAAGTACCAATTATAAAACAACAACGCCTATTTCTTCTCTTTGGGGTTGTCTGCAATGCATCTCTGTTCAAAGTAGTCGTCGTGTATTGTGCTGTTTACTCAGCTGTGATCACTAATCACGTAATTATTCTTCGTTGGTTTAAACAAATCTTACGGTCTCTTCCAAGCTTTACACTCACCCACATATGCCAAAAAATAGGTGTAGTGCAACTTCTTCACACATTAAAGTCATTCCCTTTCCCTCTCTTTCATTCTGAATCCCTCACACTTTCCTTTCTACTGGTGTTTCTCACTTCCTCCTCTCTCCAGGTATTCTCCTCTCCATAATCTGCCTCAGCCCCCTTACTCCGGCCCCCCCTTCCCTGCCGTCCTGCTGCTGACGGGGGACCACGATGACCGCGTGGTGCCCCTCCACACCCTGAAGTACTGCGCGGCGCTGCAGCAGGGGGTGGGCCGCAGCCCCGGGCAGCGCCAGCCTCTGATGGTCAGGGTGGACACCCGCAGCGGGCACGGCGCCGGGAAGCCCACCGCCAAGGCCATCCTGGAGGATACACACATCTACTGCTTCATCGCCGAGACACTGGGGCTCAGCTGGAAGGAGTAGAGAGGCTGGTAAAAGATGCTCGCAATAAGGGATGCTTTTTAAGGGATTAATGGTTTATAATTCTTATTTAAGAATACATACTTTTAGTCAAGGTCAGAAGAATATACCAGAACAGTGAAAGTGAATCATTACAGGAAGATTTAATTATAAAAATGAGATACATACCATGATGCCTCTTTTGAAATAACTCTTGACAATTACCTTTACCTATCAAATACACAAAAAGATTAGGCATTTGTTTTGAATGCATATTGTAGATTTGGAATAAATTGTATAATTAAAATAAAGCATTTAAACAAAACCTCTATCTTCACTATGATATGAAATATGTGTTTTAATTAATCCGTTCATGCAGTTTTAAATAAGAAATATCTGAATTGTTCAGCATCATTATTGAAATAATTACTTTTATTGAAATAATGACTTGAGTATTTGCAATACCTCTGATGATGATCATCTGAAAATGATCATTTTAACGTAAAAGTGGTCCATACAAATGTAACCTATCAATAAGGTCAAAACCGCTCATCAAAATATTCCTCAAGTGTGGAACGTGCCCTGCCTTACACGTGCTGCGCTGTCCCCTGTTTGAATTACGCTCGGAGCTGAAGTCACATATCACTTCAAATAAAAAATTAGATTAACTAAGAAATGTTGCGATCCAACCGAGGATTTTTGTCCCCCCACGAACCCTTCGGTTAAACCACAATTTCCTTTAATATTTTATAATCTTGTCAAGTTTTGTATATAAAATATGTATCTGTAAATGAATGATTGGCCTAAGGATGATAAATGTAATGCTCTCCTCTAAAATGTAATAAGAGTAAAGGTATCATATAATAGAAAGAACACAGCAGTAATTTCTGTAGGGCGCAGTTTATACATATTTCACCAAGTGGCAGTGTTGGACTACAAAGAGAAAACCCTGCAATAGAGAAGCTGTACGACACCTCAAGGTCAAAGGCTGGGTGTCACTTTAGTGTCAACTGCTGTCGCTTCATTTAGGGGGATTGTGTTGAAAAAAAAACAAAACACCAACAGCAGGATACACTTGGATAAATCCTTAATGTTGTCGATTTGTTGGTATATCTGCATAGCGGGTGGGAAATGAAATCACTGGCAGATAGAGGAAGTAGGACACATCTGTATGGAACAGCAGATGTGTATGACGGGATGTAAAGATGCAAGTAAAGAGAGACAGAAGACAGAATCATCTTTAAAGTTTGTGCTGACAAAGTGGAGGGAGTGCTGATAGACGGCAGATATGTGTGGAGACAGCGAGAAGCAACATGCAGACAAGCGGAGAGAGACTGAAAGTGCACTTATGGAGAGACTCAGGAGGCGCCCAGACAGACGGGTGTTTAAACTGTCAAAGGGTAAAAAAAACAGAGATAGAAACTCTCCGCCAGCCAACCGCGGAGAGTGAGAGAAGTTGTCCGCTCGGTCACTCAGAGTTTAATCTCTGCTCAGTGGGAAGTTCTGATTTCGTCAGAATGAACCCCGGGCCTTATCTAAGTACCCTCTCAGTGGGTAGATATGAGGGGAAAGGAGAGGGGAAGGCTGCGGCTGCAGGAGGATTTGCAGACAATGACTCGTAGCCACAGGGGCAGAGTGGTTGAATGAAGCCCGGGAAGACAAAGCCAGTAATAAGCCGGACATATGAGAGACAGAGGCAGCGCTTTAAAACCAAGCAGGAGAAAGCTGAGATGCTGAGAGGAGTGTCCCCGAGGATTGAGGAGGCTTTTGCTGCTTCATTTGCTTCATGCTCCCCCCTCCATCACCTCTTCAGCTCACTTCCTTCTCATTGTACACAGCTCTGTTTCTCTGGAGAAACACAAGCTTTTACAAAAGCCTCACCGTCTCACACTCTCGCAGGTCCCCGTCCTGTCCTCCGTTTGTTTACTTTACTCCCTCCATAATGCAGGGATTAATTTCTCAAAGCCGATTTGAGCTGCGGCACGCTTCGGAAAAGAGCGGAGAGCAAGAACTTTTGTGCTGGGGGGAAGTTTCCCCTTCACACTAGCTTAGAGGTGGACTGCACTCCCCTTTATGCCGCTTGCTTTAATCTTCACACGGAGCAGAGGGAGCAGGGGAGAGAGGGAGGACAGGGAGGACAAGAAGGGGAGAGGGCTCTCAACACACAGCCGGGAATCACTAATGTCTTTAGGTGTTGTCTGCTTTCCCATGTGCCCCTTTGAATCCTTTTGCTCCTTCCGCTACCCTCTCTGGGCTTTCTTCCTCCTACATCTCCGGACTTATTTGTAGTCTTTTTCCAACTGCAATAGTTTCTCTTATTATGAGGGTGTATCTCACAGTGAAGAAGATCAGAATGTCTGCTTTGGGTACAAAGCTGTGTGATGACTGGGCCGCAAAGTTTACAGTTAAAACAGGGTTTGTTTATGAACCATTCAACTATTATTTTAACAAGGAACTCGTGAATGTTGAGTTTACAAACTATAATTAGAAGTTCTCACTACCGGTTCCTTCTACTGGCATCTTTGAATCACATGTTTGGCCCAATCATCATTCCAGAATTAAATTGTATTCATTTCATGATTATATGAAATGGAGAAGAGCAGAAATACTGACAGCAACAAATCACAATTTTCATTATCAATAAAAAATAAAAATCATATTTTTATAGACATGATATTTAAATGATTATAAACTAGAGACAACTAGAAAAAAAATTGAGAATCTAGAACAAAAAGTGTGCACTCAAAGATTGAATCAAAACTGGAACTGACACATTTTTCCATTGATCAACTTATCAATTGATCAACTGATGATTTTAAATTTACCACAATTTAGAACAACTAACTACACAATTATTGTTAATTATTATTTCCAATTATCATTCATTGACTAATCGATTCAGCATTAGAGGTCTTAGTCTTGCAGTGATTCTCTATTATTCTTTGTAAAGTGAAATCCTTAAAGCAATTCTACCTCTTGATGATATACTCACACACCTATCTGATTTGTATTTAATGTATTTCAATGTCCTCAAAGTTATTTGAAGGCCTTAAACATGTCTTGATTTTGAAAAAGCGATGGATTTCAGGTACAACGGTCTACATTTTGCATTTCGAAACAAGATTTTCTGTAATCTCTTGGAAGAATCCCTGCCCGTCCCCCTGTCCCCCTGTCCCAGTCTCATTTACAGTGAATAAACAGGCAAATCTGATTGAAGATTTACGCTCGAACCGTGAGAAGCCTGACAAAATACCAACCAACACAAACCTCCCCAAACGAGGAGAGTTACTGTGGGATGTGTTGTTTGCATACTAAGACATCACACCCATACTAATAGCATTTGTTATATTGTATGGCGAGGGAATAGGAGCTAGAGAGCGGTTGATTAGCCCGCTTTTCGCTTCATTTAGCGTGTGTGCAGCTGCTAAGATGGCTCCTGACCCTGAGCAGCCAGGAGTCAAGTGTTAACGCTATTAGGATTTCATCATTTATTTGATGTAGATTTGCGCCGGCGGCTATATTTCAGATTGGGTTTTTATATTTGATGTCCCAACACAGTAGATTGCTTAGAATGTCAAGTCGCAGCATTGCGATAACTTCACGTTTTAATTACAAATGTGTCTCTTCAAATAAATGATTGCACATCTAATTAGAGCCGCCCGGTCACATTCTCTGTGTGTTCAAATCAGCCTGACATGTAAATACGCCTTTTCGTGTTTTATTCACCACATTACTTCTCGAATGCGAGCAAGAGATTCACCATAAGTCTCAAATAATGAATGATCAGAATCCAGCGTTGCTGCAGCAGGAGTTCAGGATCTGAAGGAGGTGGTGTTTGAACGTGGGGGAGGTTTATAAAGCTGCAACAGGCTCCGAGATGAAACTCATTAAGTCTCAAACTCCAATCCTCTACTCCAATAAGAATTTAATATAAAAAGTATGGATTGCTGCTGCAACTGTATGAGATAAATGAAAAGATCTCACTCTCAAATGTATGCCCATCGCACAACACATATTATATGCACACGCTCACACACACACACACACACACACACACACTGACCCAATGCGAGCGGGCAGCTCACTGACTTCTACACACCCCCACAGTTCACTCCCACGCTAACTGAATTTGCATTTACAATCATTTCCCATACGCAGTTCTTGTCTAAAGGTGGGCGTTTTGTAATAAAAAGTAAGTCATATAACCTTAGAAGAGAGAAGCTCAATAAGTTCACATGGTAGAGGAGAGAATACCATGAACATGAAGTAGCCAGGAGAGGGGACTGCAAGTTGAGTTCTGTTGTAAGAGGATACTGGGTATTAACCCCATAGCACCTGGATAAGTAAGTAGCACAAGAGGCCTATGTAGAGTTAGCTCTAAAGGCTCAACTCTCCGCACCAGAGGTGAAGTTAAAGGGTAGACAAATAGATCAGGAGTTTTTCATTTGGATCCCTTACAACTAAAGTGTTCAGCTGCTTAATGCATCTACCCTGTTACCTTAGGCAAGACGCTGAAACAAAAGTTCTCCTAAAGGGTCGATTCATCCAGATTGTAAAAACAAAAACATTTTCTTACTTTTATTTTAGTTTTGGATAGGTTCTTCATAGATCTCAAAGATGTAAAAGAAAAAACGCTATATGAATAGTTGAACCCTGAAATAGTTGTTACAAAAGCTGTTCATGACAAGGTCAGCAGATTGCCAAGAGTACAATAGACGCTATGAAGGCTTCTCAATACTCTAATTTCCCCTCCTCGACTCCCCTCCTCGACTCCTATCCTCGTGTCTTAGTCCCGCCCACAGGAGATGCGAGCATAGGAGTCGAGGAGGGGAACCGAGGAGAGAGGAGGGGAAGCAGCAGGCGTTTAGAGAAATGAGAAATCCTCTCCTCTGAGCGGTCATTTTAAAGAGACGTCCATTAATGATGACAGGAGGCACAGCAGCCCTCTGTCTGATGGACAGAACTGTGTTCATGACCACTTATATATTTACTTTTAATTCATTCACAGTGCGGTATAACGAGACAATAACAGGCTACAGATGTGGACATATACACACACATATATTTATATAAATATATACAATTTCAGAATCAAACAAGTATGAGAGCACTCTCATAATAACGTAACACAATCAGAGACTGGATATATCCCCCCCCCCTCTCTGGTCGCTGAAATGGGGAATTTAAATTACGGGCCAAAAGTTGTATTTACAAGTATTAAAGGTAAGCATAGGACACCAAACCAACTGAGACCCGTCTGTCCGCCGCATCTACGCACTGTACAACACGCACCTACACACTGTACCACACACACCTACACACTGTACCACACACACCTACACACTGTACCACACGCACATACACACTGTACCACACACACCTACAGCTCCTAAAGCATATAATAGGCTATATATCAGGCTACAGCCGTTTTATTATGTGAAGCACTAAATGGTCTTAGAAAAATATCGACTCTTTGTTTGTAGATATCTACTAAACTACAGCATACAAATACAGAGAGTAATGTAGGCCTGTTATACTCAGTGATATATTATACACTGCTCTGCTTTCTGCACGGACCTCACAGCTGTTCTCACTGTAAACATCGCGTTGCGATGAAAGCAGTTACTAAAATAATATCCAGGGGATGCATGCATGCAGAGCTGTCATTGGCTGAGATCAGTCCGGCCGTGCGTCACGCCTCCACCGTTCCCGGAAATACATCCGCGGAGGAGCCGTGGAGGACCCATCAGTGTATCCTCGGTTATAGCTCCTCCAGAGAGCCTCCTCGATGCTCGATGCTCGGTCCTCGATGTGCATTTAGAGAAATTAGATGTCCTTCAACATGGCGCGCTGAAATACATTTCCGGGTCACTACCGGAGGACCGAGGAGTCGAGGAGGGGAAATTAGAGAAATGAGAAGCCTTCTATGTCTGGAAACAGATTTCTCTGATAGATTTTCTTCAGTTTGAATGCAAGGTTTTGTCTAGCACAAATAAATATTTTGTTCTAAAATGTCAACGTTCAGTTTTTCTCACACGTTTTTTTATCCTTGATGTCTTATAGGTTTAGTACATCTCCGTCGGGGGTTAAATTGACCCCCGACAAAAAAAGTAATATTATAGTATGTCGAAAAAAAATTGTGAGTTTAATATACTATGTGTAAAAATATCAGAAAGAACGTCATAGTACAGTATGTCCAAAATAATAAAAAACGGCACAGTATACTATAGTATGTCGCAAAATATGCAAAACCAACATAGTAGAAATATCAGAAAAAACATAGTATAGTATGTCGAAAATATAAAAAAAACTAGCTTGTACAGTATAACAGAAATGTCTGAACCAACAACATAGTATAGGAGTTTCCCAAAAAGGTCAATATTTTGTCATTTGACATTTGTTCGAATAAAACAAGGTTGTGTAGAATGGCAAACAATTCTAACAAAACATATATGTAATTTAAACAATTTTCTAAGTTTAAAATTGTTAACATTCATAACTTCAACAATCTCTCTAACATTTGAGGCTTTTCCTAAAAAAAATTCAAACCTCAGATATAAGATTACAATTCCTCAGATAAACTCTCGGTTTTCAATAAATGACTTGATTAACTGAGATAGCACTTACAATATACTTCCATACATCAGCCTTATTTACACCACCTTGCGTTCAAAGGCGAGTGAGGAAGAGGAGCTCCTTCTGGTCTGTCTTTTGCAACACGTGTTGTCATCTTCTCCTCTCAGGTATATATACACATATACCTGAGAGGAGAAGATGACAATAAAGCACCAGAAACATGTTTTAATCAGTCTAGGCATGTTATTATACACTGCTGTAAAAGTAGATAAATTATCAGATATGTGACATCTTAAGAATAATGTCATGCAAATATACTTAACCTTAAACAAGAATACTTACACTTAATTAACCTTACTTATACTTAGACCACGAAAAGGAAACTTAACAAAACTGAAACTACCTTGTATTTTTTTGAAACCCTCAAATATTGGCCTTGCAGTATCAGTATATCAAATGTAGAAAGAGACATAGAAGACAAGGAGAAAAACATGTTGTATTGGAAATGTTTTAATAGTTTCAATATTGCAACAGCCATCCGATTTTCTTCTAACAGGTAAAAATCATCAAAAAACTAACAAAAAAACATTTTTTTTTTCAATTTTATATTCCAAACACCTTTTCTTGGCTATGGCCCTAGACTCAACAAATAAAACCCTTACACAGTGAGCAGATATTATATTCAACACATTGTTTCTCAAACAAATTATAAAAATAGATTTAGCATTTTCAAGTACATATTTACAGTATTAAACATATATCATAATGGTCACAGTAACAGAGAGAGGGACAGAGGGGAAGTTTCATTCATTGTGTTGAAGAGGTCCAGTTTGTGTGAAAGCAACTGCATGTGTGTGTGTGTGTGTGTGGAGTCTTTTGTGTGTGTGTCAAAGGGACCATTGGTGTGTTACAGTATGTGTGTGATTCCATCTATAAAGGACACATGAGTTTATTTCATTTGACAAAACGGATACAGAGAAAGTAGCGTACAAGGAGGAAAAACTCATTTTGTTCCAAATACAAACCAGTTACAATATTTCACTCAGAAATGAATGTACCTTTTTATTGTGAAAACCTATGATAATGCCCCAATAAACGTCCTCGCTCAAGTCTCCTGTATTGAAACAAAAAAAGGTGAGATCGCTGTACAGGGAGAATTCTGGGAGTTATCTGGGGAAAAAGTGCAACCACGTAGCATGGCAGAGCCAGATATTAACAACGCAAAATTAAACATGATAATCCAACATTTACATAGAGAAAAAAAGTCCATATGACATTCCTTAATACTGTATTCATACTGCAACACACACACTGTCATGTATACAGCAAATCCAAAGATAATGGACCTCAACTTCAACCGTACCAGCTCCAGTGTTCAAGAATACACAGATACTGTGTGCCGACAGTAAAAACCCTCCAGTGTACAAAACTACTCATTTATTCAGTTATAAACTCAGCAGTAAAATAAAGAAAACAAGAACACAACTGCTTTATTTTTTTAAATACTATAAGTTAAATAACCCTTCTCAAGCTCTTCTTCACAGAGGTTTGTGGTACAGTCTGTAAACATAAATAAATATGGATAAATATCTGAATCTGGCCATCTTCCGTGCTCTATACAGAGTAGTGAGGAGGATCATGGAGTAGACATCCAGCGGGGGAAAGGGAGAATTAGTTTTAAATGCACAAAGTAAACAACTGGAAAGAAGAGAAATATAAAGAAACTATGACAGCGAAATAGACAGCGACGCACAACAAATTAATGAACAATCAAACACACATTTTCAACCTTTACAATTGTATCCTGCAGCTTTTGTTCGACCATCAGTAGCCCCAAGGGAAACAAGAAAACAGGTTGACGTTCCTGAACGTACAGCATGTCCTCGGGCCTGTGTTCGTTCCGTCTGCACACGTTATATACTGAATATAAGACTCATTTACTGGAGGCTTTCATTTAGGCCTCATCTAACCTCACTCTCACTGGATCCTTGACATGGGACAGCACAGTCTTCTTAAGCTACTGCAGCCATGTTGGATCATCAGAAATGTTCCTCTCACATCTGATGAAATACGCTCTGACGTACAACGATATGATTCTGTATCAGAGCAACTGATCCCAGGCAAAGGAAATAGTCCCTGGGTGTGGCCACATACTGTTTTTAGTCAATCAATGTTGTGTTAAAGGGAAATTCTACCCTTATATTTTTCCTTTAAGCACTAGTCCGACAGCTTGGAGGTCAGCTTCAGACAGAGAGCGTCCTGCTCAGACAATATTTAATCTGCCTTGACGCACTGATCCAGAACCAGTGTGATGGAGCTGACATTGTTATTGAAGTGCAGATAGAGGTCACAGGAAAAAAAAGTCAGTGACGTCAATCCTCTGCTATCCCCCCAACGGCGACAGGAACTCGTCTCTGAGAGGTTTAAAAACAAATAAGGAAGAAAGGAATCAAGGAAGGCATGAGGATGTGTGGGAAGGAAGAGTAGATAGAGTGCAGCTAGCTGAAAGATCTGCTCATCTTTCCTTCTGTCTGGAAGAGCGATCTCTCTTTCTCTCCTCTTCTCCACCCCATCATCCGTCTGCACACACGAGGGTCTGCAGCTGCAGGTTGAGAGCAGGCGCCCCCCCGTTAGTTAGACCTGCACCCCGCGCCCATGCATCTGGATGACCTGCGCTCTGAGGGTCTGGATGGCGGCCAGTATCAGCTTCTGGTGCTCAAGGGAAGTGATGCCAAGACTCAGCACATCTCTGAGGACACACATCGAGACGTACCGACATTAGTGCAAATACATAACTTTATGCGACTGGATGACATCAGGTAAATATGGAAAATATGTATCTGATATTAATGTATCCCCTGAGAAATCGGTTTCATCTTATATATTTCTCAATAACATTACTACTAACTACTTTTCTTTAGTAAAATAACACAAACCTATATACATTTAGGATATATGTTTTGTAAGTGTGAGACCTTAATGCAAGAAGCTAAAAACCTTTTTTCTTGTGTATTTAAGAGTAACTTAATACCAGCATAGTAACAATGTTTGTTTTTAGAAATGATCATTTCTTAAAGCCCAAGGTGAACTCGTAAAATGTGTATTACATAAGACAAAAAAGCAGCAAATCTAATTTATTCATGCAGTTATCTTTCTACAGATCTGTTCTCATATTATCTCTCTGAGACCCCCCTCTCTTAAACAGGAAATGAAATAGTCAGTGAGACAGTAGTCACTCACTGGACGGTCATCCGGGCCACAGACTCCAGGTAGCAGTACCCTGCGGCGGTGAAGTTGTCCTTGTATCGGCCCATGTCCACTGCGTCCAGCCACTCCCCCACAGAGTTGAATGCTGGGAAGGAGTGCAGCGGCCTCTCTGCCAGCGTGATGGAGGAACTCAGGGTTCTGGAGGAGAAGACATGTATTGTTGATTGGGAGGATAAGAAAGCCGACTGTACCTTTACTACAAATATTTTTAAAGACAAAATATAGTGACCTTTTTTTTACCACACCTTACTGATATTCTAAACAGATTTCTATCTATACTTTAGTTTGTTGTTCCTTGATTTATTATGATAATGACTTTTTGTGGCATACTAAGCTGATATTTTTTATGGAAATCTATAGTATAACATTTAAATGATATTTGAGGCATACTATATTTGGACATTTATTAATAAAACAATCCTGGCATACTAATATGACTTTAAAAACTATAATCTTTTGGGATTTTTAAGAAAAACGATGGCATTCTATATCATACATTTTACTTCTTCTCCAACCAGATTGTAGCCCAATCATCAAAAGCATTTACAAGTATAAAGGATTATAGGTCCTGCGTATATTCTCTTTACTAGGTTTATTTGAGCCAACATCAATTGATCATTGATATTGGGTAAGAAAAATAAGATCCCACAATGAATCAGCTACTTTGTGAATGCACCAGTACCTGCGTGACAACGTGGAGGAGCCGATGCCATCGGGGGAGCGAATGCTCTTGCTGAGGGCTGAGTGGATCTGGCTGAAGCTGGGCCTCTCCGTCCTCTCCTTCTGCCAGCAGTCCAGCATCAGCTGGTGGAGGTGGGGGGGGCAGTTTACTGGAGCGGGCAGCCTGAAACCATCCTCGATCGCCTTGATCACCTACAGCACATCCAGAAAGAAACACATATATATGAGTTATGAACATTTGGGAGTAGATTTGCATGTGTGTGATTGGTTAGTAAGAAAGGGGGATGTTTTGTCCTACTTCAAAAAGACAGTAAGGTATTTCAACCTTTTTATATTCCTTAACTGTGACTTAGTTGCCAAGAATGGAAGTCTTTTGAAAGTAGAGGTCCTACTCTAAGTAGAAAAGTGCTGGTGTTTTCATTTTCTTGTCACTAATTACCCCACCTACAACGCATCTTTTTGCTTTTTTGGTAATTGCGCTTTTAGGTCACTTTGCAAATCGGCAGCATATGCAAAATAAACAGATTTCAGCAGAGAGATATTGCTGACCTCAACAATATGAGCTGTAAACAAATCTGCTGCTATGTCCCGACTTAAACTACAACAAAAACTAGAACCACATAGGGAATACAAAGCTATAAAGAGAATAAAGGTGTGAGCCAAAACTGAACAATGCTAAATTCAACATGGCTGACTGACTGTGTGTGGAATTAAAGGTCAGGATATTCAATGTCTTAGTGTCACTTGACAGGATATTTGATGGGGTATTACAATAGAATAAATCCTATCGAGATGATTTTCATTTCCTTCAATATAATATGTTGCAGGGCTATGAATACAATTAAATAAGGAAACATTACAGATGAAACAAATAGCCCACCTGAGCCCCTCTAAAAGATAAGCTACGACATCCAATGAGTCCTTTTTTCATCAAGCCTTGTGAAACCTCACTGTTCAAATAGCAGAGCATGAAAGCATCTCTCCAGACTCCCTCAATGTTCATCGCTCCTCCATCAAACTAATGTTGTCCCCATTCAAAATCCATTCACGAGAGATTTCCTCTAAGAATAGGACATGAGACACGTCCGTCTCCTGTATCACTCAAAGAAACACAATCTCCTCGAAAGCAGGAAATAGTAGCATAATCACAAAAATGACATCCATCAGCGGCATTAGTTCCTAAAACACTCTTCTCTCTCCGCCCCCCCACTCTCCTCTCAGCCCTTTAAGCTCCTATCTCACTAAAGAGCATTCAGAAAATGCTTTTCACAATTTGACATTTTCCATTTAATCAAAGCGGGGAGGTAAAGGGCACGATGGATCACAGGTGGACAGCACGAGCAACAATTCCGTCATGATATAATGTATCAATTTAAAGTGGACTAATGTGCCTGCCGCTCTACAAGCTTGACCTTTGCCCTCTCAATTGGCAAGTTTGATAATATGAACCAGGCTAAGAGCAAACTTCCTCCTGCTTTGTGAAAGGGCAGCATGGGAACTCTAGAAAAAATAAGGAATCTATTCTCGTGCCTAGGGCTGTGCGATTATGGCAAAAATCATAATCACGATTATTTGGGTCAATAATTGATATCACGATTATTAAATACGATTATTCATTGACTTTGAAAAAATCCATTTATTGAACTTGAAAACAAATACAAATAATAATTTGAACAGTATCTTTTTAACTGTTGATTACCCTGAACGTATAATTCAACTGAAAAACCAATACAAAAATAAATGATACATTTAAATAAATAATATCAAAATAATAAATACCAATCAACAAGATCAACAAATATTTTGGAGCGTACTTCCACAAGCTCCTAAACATATATAAATATGATAAATACAAATAAATGAGACCAAAATTAATGAGATCAAATATGTTGCAGTGCACTGTCACAACCAAGCAAAGCAAAATAATTGTTTTTTTCGATTATGTTGTTTTCGTAATTGTGGCAGGCCAAAATCGTAATTGCGATTAAAATACGATTAATTGCACAGCCCTACTCGTGCCTGCTCATGCATATTAATTTTGGACAGTCGAAAATGGAACAAGTTAATAATGTGTTGCTTTTTAAGTATGACATAATGACCTTGTGACCAGCATCACTCATTCACCTCCCCTTTAGAAGCATGGCTTCCTTCAAAAAGTGAAATAGAAGGAGAAGGAGTACCAATAGAAAAACTGAACTCCCACCCACATTGACTTGTGGTGACAAGCAGTGGTGTCCTGTTGCCTGGACAATCTCTTCAACCCTCAAATAGAAATCACTCTACACTTCCTGAAAGAGGAATTTTTCCAAAAGGATTTGGAAGACTTTTAAGAGTGGGATGGCACTCTAGGACAGGCGGAGGGCCACTAGAAGGGGGTCAATGCGTCCTTAAGAGAAAACAGGATTGGTCATGGAGCTGATGCAGACTTAAAGAGGGGGACTTAGGCATGGCCAAAGCTTTCAGAGGTACTGTGGCTTTCTTTTAATAAGATCCAAGCTGGGCACGGATACAGAGTTCATTGATAGAGGGAGGTGAAAGAGAGAGGGAGAGTGGTGAAGTGCAGATAATAAAAACAAATGGAATATAAAGGACATGACTGGGGAGCTTAATAAAAAGCACCCTCCTATCTCTAAGCTTTCCTCCCCCACACACACACTTACGTCCTGGTTGCCCATATCCCAGTAGGGTCTCTCTCCATAGGACATGACCTCCCACATGACGATGCCGAAGCTCCACACGTCCGAGGCGGAGGAGAAGCGGTGGTACTGGATGGCCTCCGGAGCGGTCCACAGCACCACGCTCTTACCTCCGTGCTGCGGGGGGAGGAGAAGAGAGAAGCACGGAGGTGAGACGTGGAGGAAAAGGGTGTGGAGAGTTTGTAGAAGTAAAGCTTTAATATTCTCTTTGAACAGCTTTGAACATATTTTCAGTAGATCAAAAAGAATTGTTAGAGGTTCACCTTGAGTGGAACCCAAAAATATCCAGGGAAATAAAAGCCCTGGAATATATATTTTTTTCATCTGAAAGCTTAATTATATGAACTCAACCTGACATGACGTGTTAACTCATTTAAAAGTACACCGGTACATGTGTGAACTTTTCACCTTCTTAGTCATTAATAGGGAAAGTAGAATGTCAAATAAAACTTCCTGGCTGCACGTGTTTTTCTTCCTTACCAGTGAGGTGTAGATGGCCTCTATCTTGTCGTCCTGCAGAGGTCTGAAGCCAGACACCTTGCAGCCCAGGCTGGAGTTAACCAGCACCTGCGAGTGGGAAAACAAACTCATTAGCATTGGTTACATTTAGAGAGGAAACAAACCCAGTGTGAGCTCACAACACCCTGGTGGGCAAAGCTTTTATCGCACCAGGTTTACAAATTGATTGTTTACAAAAACAAAAGTGCCCTGTTTTTCCCGCAACGTGCCCACTACATTTGCAGTTTGATAGACGGGCTTACACAGGGAAATCTCAATATGACAAACAAGATTTCGACAGTATTGGTAGTTTCAGGTTCACGAATCAGGTGAGTGAGGTTTGCAGCTTCCTTTGAAAAACGTTCAAAAGCCTTGCAAAAATCACCCTGCTGTTCTCCTCCCTCCTGCTTTACCTTGTGTGCGGCCAGCCGTTTGTGGATGAAGCCCATTTCGGTGAGGTACTTCATCCCCGATGCCACGCCGGTCAGCATATCCATCAGCTGCATTACACTCATCTGGCCCTCATGTTTCTGGGGTTACGCGGAGATGGAAATAGGGGGAAAAGAACAGGTAGGAGGTGAAATGAAAGTGAAATGAAAGAAAAGAGAAGGAGAACATAAGTTGATTGTATCTGGTATTTATGTAGTGATCCAAATAAGGGGTTACATCTGCTACTATAGTACAATGTTGTGCTCACTGAGCTGAATCCCTTTATTTGGAGAATAAAAAACAAACAAGCCATGAATTCGTATCATTATAAACCCTGCCACAGTGGTTCACAGAGCAGAGAGGCATGATAACAGTTCACAGAGGCTTACAGTATATTTAAGCAGAAACATCCATTTGTGCTGTTAATTATGGTGCGTTTCCTTTATTACTGTAATAAGCATGAGTACTGCTGCCCTAGGACTGCGCTGTAATAATAGAGAATTTAGGATCATTAGAACAAAATGCCTTGTTTGTGAAACGGCTGTGAAACACACGATAATGATGAGGCTATACTTTGCTAATACACATGGAGCGTTTAGGATACGCTGGACATATTGTACAAAAAACTCACCCTGAGGAAGGAATCTAAGGATCCGTTAGTCATGCTCTCCACAATGATCATCATGGTGTTACCTGGAGAAAGACAAAGAGAGCATAGAATTTAAAGATCTCCCATCATGCAACATTTTAGGCATATATTATGCGTCTCAGATATATACAAATATATAAAAAAAACTGCTCAAAATACCAAACAGATCATGCATTTTAGACATCCCTCATATCCCTCTATTCAAATTAAAAAGAGCAGGGGGAGCTTGTGCCTGCTCAGAATTCTACCGAGATACTCAGCGAAATGCTGCCATGATGAAACACCATATCATGTTCCAAACTACATCAAGGATTATGTCTGAAACAGTATGGAGCTCAAATGCTTTTCCTCTTGCTGGTTTACCACAAGGTGCGTTCCTTTTGTTATTTCCTGCTTCTTTACCCATACTCTCTCCAGTACAGGTTAGCTCTGAGTGTTAGCGATGCTTGCTACTGTAAACAAAGACCACATTCCGTCCAAAACAGTCGGGCATTGTTTCTGATAGCAACGTTTCTGCCAGCCCACATTTCGGATATTACGTCATCTTGGACGCAAATCTGGATCAGCTCCGTTGTACCCCCGTTTTTAGAGATTTGGGTATGGAGGAAAATAGAGAGGGTTTTGTTTTCTGACACTTTGTGAGTTCCCCGACACACCGGGGACACATATTCATGTGTAAAAGACATCAAAAAGTGCAATTTGCATGATAGGAGACCTTCAAATGAGTTAAATTGAGGTAAAAATGGAGAGAATCAAGGGAAGAAGAGAAAGTGAGAGACGTAATAGAGACGGAGATACACAGAGGGGGAGGGCGGGGGGGAATGGAGTGAGTCTGGTCCACTTGGCAGCACGGCAGGCATTGTGCAAAGCCATTCCTCACCCAGTGAACTGTGGTGAAGCCAGGAGAACCTGTGTGCTTCCCTGGCTGTCTCAGCAAGTTTAACGACCCTCAAACACTCACTCACACACAGTGCATATACACCACACACATGCTCAGACACACCCACACACACTTACTGCCCAGGCACAGATGGCAGAGATCCAGCAGTGCTATGAAGTGCACAGAGGAGGAAAATGAGACTGCAGCAGTTGGCGTAGAGAGAGGAAACCATGAGAGAGGAGGAGTGGATTATGGGAGCTCGCGAGAGAGAGAGGGAAATGAACCTTCATAGATATGTAAACAACTACAAATACAAAGACCTAGCTGTGTACAAATGCTTTCAATACCTGTTTGCAGGCGCATAACACAAATGGTAGTTTGGTATTGTGATATCCACAATTCAGGGTTTGCCAGTATTACTGGGCTTTCAGGAGGCTATTTGGAAAGGTTACCAGCGGCACGGGGGAACAGTCAGCACAGACACTGCCATGATACACAGGTCATCGTGTAATTACTGCAAGAGAGGAGGGGTTTCACTGTGATTGGTTACATAGAGCTGGAATTACAGATACATTTAACTACAAAAAAATCTTGTTCAAAGGTGGTATTATATGTGTTATTTGAACACCTGCTGAAACATTGTATTTGAGAGAGTATACCAGAAATTCAAAAGGAGAAAAACTAATTGTGTGACAGAGTGGAAGGGAGATATATTTCATCATCTACTGTATATACAAAGTCATTCACAATTGTCATCGACTGTTATTAATTTGAATGTACTTTACTTGAGTATTTCTGTTATCAGCTCTTTATACGTATATTCGATGACATTTCAGATATTGTTCACTACATTTATCTGCCAGCTGGACTTTTCTGGTTACATTATGTAGCAAGATTTTACATTAAAAGCACATAAAAACCATGGTCATTTATTAATTTATCTTTCTTAATAATTGTATTTCTTTATTTTATCATTTACAATGGTTATCACTGGATGTATGTTATTAAGGATCTCTCTATTCCACCAGTCCATTCAAACCCTGAAACTGCCTGTAGGAAGGTTGATGGTTAGTCTTGAAGGAAGGAGCATATAGAGGTGAAAAGGAAATAAGGAAGCTCTTCCATGTAAACGGACACACCCATATTTTTTTAATGTTGCCTTGAATTATGGTAAGAGGACAGGATGATTAATGAGGTTTGGTAGAGGGGCTGGAATAGAGTTAGATTGTGGCGGGGGGTAAGTGATGTAAAGCAGGTGATTTGTACACACTATGTGGGTTTGTGTGTGTGTGTGTGTGTGTGTGTGTGTGTGTGTGTGATGTGTGTGTGTGTGGTAGTGTGTGTGTGTGTGTGTGTGTGTGTGTGTGTGTGTGTGTATGTGTGTGTGTGTGTGTGTGTGTGTGTGTGTGTGTGTGTGTGGTGTGTGTGTGCGTGTGTGTGTATGTGTGTGTGTGTGTGTGTGTGTGTGTGTGTGTGTGTGTGTGGTGTGTGTTGTGTGTGTGTGTGTGTGTGTGTGTGTGTGTGTGTGTGTGTGTGTGTGTGTGTGTGTGTGTGTGTGTGTGTGTGTGTGTGTGTGTGTGTGTGTGTGTGTGTGTGTGTGTGTGTGTGTGTGTGTGTGTGTGTGATTCCATGCCAAGTGAAGAGGCAGGCAGGCAGTTGTGTGTGTGTGTCAATGAAAGTGAAAGACAAAATGAGCATATGGGACTGCCTTTGTATGTGTGTGAGAGCATGCATTGGAGTGTGTGTGTGTGTGTGTGTGTGTGTGTGTGTGTGTGTGTGTGTGTGTGTGTGTGTGTGTGTGTGTGCGTGTGCGTGTTAGCGCACGTGATGGTGGGAGAGATTGGAGTGGATCTCAGTGCCCCGCTGGGTCTCTAGCACCAATTACTATACCCTGCACATCTGTTGCCATCCTACTGTGCGCAGTGTGTTCGGGCACCTTGCCCACACACACACACACACACACACACACACACACACACACACACACACACACACACACACAACACGCTGAGCATCACTGCGGCAGTAACAAAAACTTCACAAACTCTTTACGGCTTCTCCCTTCACCTGCCATTCCCATTAACCTCTACCTCATCTTCTCCGTCTCTCATGTCTCTCCTCCGTTCAAGTTTTTTTTCCCCTCCCTGTCCTCCCATCCTGTTTTCGCTCTAGGACCTCAATTGCTATCTGTCAGTGTAAAATGGGCCTTGATGTAGCTCGGCTGCTGCTAGCGTCGGAATCTATCTCGCGTCCTGCTCTCTACTCTTCAACCTCTTCTCCTTTTCCATACGTTAGTCTGCCCTCTTCACTGTAGGCGTTGACCCCCCCCCCCCATGCGTGTGATATTGAAGCGGTCGGGTTCGGCTCTTTCCAATCATCTCTCCTTCTCCTGTCTATGCTCCTCTCCCAGTTTTCTTCCCATCTCGCTTCTTAGTTGCCAAAAGTGGTGACCCCCTCTGCACGTGTGATATTGGAATCCAGCTCCATTGTTTACCCCTACAGCCTCCGCTTCCTTTTCCCTTCCTCCGAGACGATGAAGGTGATGAACCCACTTCATGCTACTAGAGATGGTCAAACTCTTCCATTTCTCCTTGATCCTTGGAGTATTTTCCCCACTTCTATGCTTCTTTTCATCTTCTCCCGCTCACCTTCCTCCAAAACTGCCTTTAACCTCCTGCTTCCTGCTTGACTACATTACATTACATTACATGTCACTTGTTAGACGCTTTTATCCAAAGCGACTTACATACTCAATACTGTGGGCAATCCCCACAGGAGCAATTTGGGGTGAAGTGTCTTGCCCAGGGACACAACGACATGCTGACTGCAGTGGGGTTTGAACCTGTGACCCCCTGATCTGAACAGCAACGCACAACCCACTGCGCCACACGCCGCCGAGGGTTGTGATAAACCCTGCCCCGACCCTGCTTACCCGTGGTGATGACGCCCTCCAGCCGGATGATGTTGGCGTGGTCAAACTGCCCCAGGATGCCGGCCTCGCTTAAAAAGGAGCGTCGCTGTTTGTCAGAGCAGCCCGCCCTTAACGTCTTTATGGCCACCGGCAGCTCCCTCTTACTGGGCAGCTTCAGGCAGCCGCGACACACCTCCCCAAAGTCACCTGTAGGGGGAGACACACAATCAGAGGTCATGATCCCTGTCGATCGATGAGAAACCAGAGAGAGCGGGGAAAAGAAAAGAGCAGGGTGACGATATGGAGTAATATCTGTGTAAAGATTCAACTAAAGAGGGATGAATGAGAGAGAGTTACACAGAGCAGGGAATCAGGTTGGAGTAGAATCCAATGGAGAAATACAAGGAGAAGCAGAGAAGACGCAAATGAACAGACACTGTTGAGGGAGAGAGAGACATGAAATACAAAGGGATCAAAGAGACATCAAAGATTGGGTAGGGTGCAGGTGAAACAGCAGAACACCGAGTACAGAGAACACAAACAGGCAAGCTTGATTTTGGCAGATCATTAAGTTGCAAAACAGCTTGAACTGGTTTCTTCGATTTTTCTCATGGCATGTAAAAGGGAAAATGCAAAAAAACTCCAGTTACCTCAAGATTACAGGAGGTGCTAATGGCTCAAATTCTGTTTGCCTGCCTTTTTCTTGCAAGGGTTATAAATAATTGTACTTTGGTTGAATACAAAGAAGAATTGCATCACTCTTACTGTGCCACTCATACTTATGATATACGGTTCCCAGCGCAGTGCTCAGGTACAAATGAAAATCATTTTGCTCATCACAAGGAATATACTCCGCTTGTAAAACTGATGTAAAATGCCTTCTGTAGCTCTCTAAAGGGCTTTCTAAAGTCTTCAAAAATTACGATATCATTAGAGTGTTCTTGGATTGGTCATGAAGCTTACGACATATGCCCTCAGGATGTGGAGTTTGAAAGACGGGCATTCACTAGGCAGGGAGGGTCTAAAAAAGGCGTTTGACCCATACTAAAAATGTTTGAACTTATGATTACTCTGCTTGTGCTTCTTTGAATACTAAATTACAGAAGTACCCGTTTTAAGAGCATTTTTAAAGTGTTGTAAACAACCCTACTTTGTTCCCGTAAACAGTCACGTACCTGTGTGCACAATTCTCTCGATCTTGATGCTGGAGTTGTCCAGCTCCTTGGCGAAAGCGTGCACGGCCTGCAGCAGGTCCTCGCAGGTCTCCGGGTCGATGTAGGTCCTCCGTGTTGGGATCTTAACTGAAAACACACAAACATAACATGACAAACCTCACCAAAAATGGATGTGGAAGTGTACTAGTGAAGCAAAACCTTTCCATTGTCCCAAAACTCAACAGGCAGCAACACATCATTTACGGTCCACATGCTTGTCTGCACAAAGAAAGACATTAAAAGATAAGAGTCTGCGGTCCCAGCAGCAAAATGTCCACATGAGGCACAGAGAAGATAAAAAGGAGCCACAGTCAGATTCAGATACCATTAAACTGTGTATAAGAAAATAAAAACAGATAGCTAACAAAATGTTTTGTTGCCCAGGCGGTACCTCAGTTCTGATGTCTGCAGCGCTTTGTGCTACAGTCAGCGGAGAAATTGGTATCTCTGGCTCCTTCAACAAAGAGTTTCTCTGTATGATTGTTGACCATTAGACCAAGATGTTGTGTCTGGGAAAAGGCTCTTTGATCCAGAGACAAAAATCAATACCTCAGTTTTATTATTGATGTTGGAGATAGCACAAAGATTGTTCTGCTATCAAACCCCACAATAACTGTGGGTCTACTTCAAACTAAGGGCGTACTGATTGGTCAAGACGTGCCAATCGTTGAATAATGTGTGTTTTCTATTTGCTCGATAATCCCCCTCTGTTTAAGGATGCTGTGTATTTATAGAAAATAGCGAAAAACAACACATTTATTACACAGATTCAACACTGTTTGTGGTGTTTAGGGTCTGGGTTGCATCGTACTAAAGCGAAGCAGAGGTCGATAGACAGATGAACACGTTTTTTTTGCATTCTTTCTTTCAAGGTTGTAAAAATTACTATACTAATATTTCAATTATCCCCCATTGTAACCCGAATGGAAGGATCCTTTGTTTTATAACCATGTTTTCCCATAAATGCAGTGTCTGTGGTTTTAATGAACAGATACAACACAAAAAGGTATAATAGGCAAAAGCTAAAAAATAGGCAAAAGCTAAAAAAAATGTTGTATGAATATATCTTTTTCAATTAGATACAAAATGCTTATGTATTCATAACTTGTCTAATTCTCCGTTTTTTTTTGTGACCTTGCGAACTCCAGAGGCAGAGAGAAACAGCCGAGATCAAAGGCTCCGACTGCTTAAAATCTGACTTTGGGTTTCCTCCATGCGGCTTTACTCAGATCACAGGAGCTTTTTGTTTTCTCTGCTTGCCTCAAAATGTTATCTCACTAACACACACACACACATATGCAAAATAACAGACACACACAAACACATTGTAATCTACAGGCAGAAATTGGGACAGGACATAATAGACATAAATTGCTGAGGCAGGGAAACCTTAAAGTGACAGGGTACACGTAGCTGGTATGCTGCTTTTTTGTTAGTTTTAGAGCTTGGGTACAGCTTAGGCCAAAACTAACATGACTTTATGTCCTCTTACCATAACGAGACAATTGAGAAATAGCCTGGTGAGTTTAAAGTGATGTATTTTGGGCTAAATAACTTGTTAACATCGGTTTTATATAAGAATAAAAAAACAAAAACAAGTGTCAATTCATAATAGATTAATTATTCAAAGAGAAGGTTAATATTAACAATTACCATGCCCTCTACAAAATCTCTTCTGTGACACTAATGGGACAAAACAATTACATATTTCCGCTGACATTTTAAAACAGCAAGTGATATTGACACCAACTGTTTGACTGTACACAACAAAAAGAAAGGACCTCCAGGTTTCTCAACGGGCCTCTTGTTTTCTTTATCTACTGCCAATTGTATTTACAGAGCACCTAGCAAATAAACTAGCCAGCAGATAGCCAATGACCATTAAGAAATGGACTAACGTTCTCAATTAGACGACCTTTGACCCTGTTTACTACCTATTAGGACCAATATTCCAGGAAAAGGGTCTGGTAGTTTTCCCAAAAGCTGCATCGAGGCACTGAAATGTGATTACAGCTCTAGATCGACAGGAGAGATCCTATACTGGCTGCCTCATAACGGCTTATTGATCCAACACACACACAAACACGTTTGCCTGTGCATAAACACACACACACATCGACAAACAGAGCCAAAAGTCAAATTATGGAGCAAATGAAACCTTTTCTATTAAAGGCCAGGGCTGAGTGGAAGATCGAAGACTCTTTTCTGTCAAAGAGGGTTTTCAAAAACACTTTATAGGTTACAACCAGCTGTGCAGTACATACATAGCACACACACATAAACAAGGGGGGGGCTCAATTGCCATCAAATGACCAGTATCATCTGGAAATGTCTGCAAATGCTCAGATACACATGTCACACACACGCACACACACAGGTGCACGCTTCATTGGCTCTGAGGGCGATTAGTTTCAGGGTTAACTGTGTCACCGCCATGAGCGATTGAGGGGAAACTGAAGCATATTCACACTTGGCTGCATAATTTTCAATGGGCCACGGAGTGAGCATGCCCACCCCCAAATATTTTCATTCTTAACCTCCATCGTGCCTTCACCTTCTCCAATTTATTTCCCCTGATACATTCTCTCTCTGTAATTGAACTCTGACTGATATCTGAAAGTGGTCTATTAATGGAGATTGCAGATGATCCTCCACCCCCCCATTTCGCGTTTCTAGGTCACATACTCCGACATAAAGCTAATGTTCTGTGCCGTGTCACTTATGATGAGTCTCTCCATCTCAGCCAACTCACCTCTTCATACTTCCAACGCTCTTTCTCATTCATCCTTTTGTGTTCATTTCCGGAATGGGGTTTTGAGAGTGTAGTAAGTGAACAGATAGGAGGAGAGAAAAAAATGTAATCTGGCTGAAATGACACTCAGTACCAAGCACTCATGAGAGCCACAGTCACGAAACAGGAAGTGTTTGAAAAAGAGGACAAAAAAGTGTCTTTGTGCCTGTTTATCCTTGTGTCTGTTCAATAAATAAATAAATAAATTGTGTGTGTGTTTGAAAAGCTGGCCAAATATGTGTGTGTGTGTTTCCGTGTGTGTTGCGTGCTTGTCAGCTGTTGGCATGTCTTTGTTTGGGCAGATTTAATTCCCAGCCGCATGGCTTCGGCTCATTATTCATCGGGCGCAGTGCTCCAAACCTCTCCAGAGGGCTCAGCATGCTGGGAGATTAAACAACGCAAATGAGCACGCACACACTGCATTTACAAAACTGTGTAAACACACACACACACACACAAGGAAACTCTGAAATCACACACATCCACCATATCATCAAAGCGTTGGCACGTGCATTTACACACAAACACGGAAAGATGTGTCAAACTACTTTCAATCTGCCACAATGGCTATTGAGAGCTAAACATGTACAATATTGGTCAACATATACAATAATGTTTAACTAGCTTTTTGGAAATCTCTGATGACGCCTGCCTGGTTCTGGAGCTTTTACCCTCTTTCTCCTCCCCCCCCCCCCCCGTTTCCAGCTCTTTTTATCTTTCCCTTCATCCTGATTTCAATCTTCCCCATCAAACTCAGCCGCACACACCCCCTAATGGACTGTGTCCGTGTGCTCAGAGTTGGCTAAGCGTGCACTCAGAATTTAGAATTAGTGCTATGGCATGACTTAATGCCTCAAAAGTCATATGTCATCACATGCATTCCAGCACATGGAATCTTAAAGACAAAGCATTTCATCGGCCGATTCCCCCCCCCCCCCCCCCCCCTTTAAATGGAGATTGAACACAAAGACCCATAGTGAAGTCACGCACACACACATCTGTGTACAGCTGGCCTGCCCATTCAGTATTGTTGCCCTCCCAGGAGAAAATCAGCGTTGTTATTATTATTATCAATGTGTAGGCCATGGATGTATATTAAAAGAAAGTTAAGCAGGCCCCAACAGATTTTAATTGTAAGCTGAAGAAAAGAAACTCAATGTGTGTGAATGTGAGATAGTGGTCACATTACAATCATGTCAGAATAATGCAGGTCTTTATACTAACTTTGTGTGTGTACATCTGGTGGTCAGCCCTGATCGCCACAGGCAGAAGAGGATATCTTTTCTGCACAATTCATATGAAATCTTCAAAATAAACATGCGTGTTGGGGTAACTTACACATCTACATTTTTCCATTATTGAGACATGTTTTTTGCATGCAAGTGTGTCGCCATAATGCATAAAAAAAGCATAAAAATAGCACAGTTCCAGGTAGCCTAGATGTTCATGTTGTTATATCCCTCTGCTGGGACGAAACCGAGCCAACATATTGGCAATGCCCCGGAAAATTGCGTTTTTATTTCTTAAATGCGAAGTTATGTCTGTGGTTTTCAGGTCAGTGAAATCCAAGACGCACATTCTGTATGTTACGTATAGATTGGGAGATATGCTTGTAGTTAATCACCAACATCAATAAAATCATGTGCCCGTGACACCTATTATTTTTACCTTGGGCCTGCCCTCTCTAATCAAATGCCCCCCCATGGATTTAGGCAAGGCAAGGCAAGTTTATGTATATAGCACCTTATAACACAAGGCAATTCAAAGTGCTTTACAAAAAATGAAAGACATTAAGAGCATTAAGAAATCTAGGTCTTCCGCCGGATCACAGTCATAGAGTTATCAGAGGCGTCACTTACACTGGAAGTAAAGTTCCTCGTCGCCCTCTTGAGAAGCCTTGCTGTAGCCGCATTGTCTGTGAAAGGAAACAAAGAAAGCCGTCAGACAGTGTTTTATCCCCGTTGGCAGACACAAACAAACACAAGCATCAGACCCTGTTTATCTTGCATCGTAACCAATCATATGGGATGTGCAAGAACTGTGAGATGAGAGAAAGCGTTGACGTTGGAGATGGAAAGGATTCAGAGACGCATTCAGAGAGACCCCTGATGCGACGGCACTGATGAGCAGCAGAGGGATCTGAGGCTGAATAAGTGGAAATCCTGCCTGATTTGACTGAGCGAGTCACAGATACACACCGATAGGCCGCGAATAGATACTCTATTGTTGTTTCACTTTTTAAGAAAAAGATGAAAAGACACACGCGCGGGCCACGGTGCTTTATACACATATGTGCACACAGTGTTATCTCTCATCCTCTGTCCCCACATGGGGTCCTGAGAGGAAAGAGCTCTCTATGATCTGACTGCTGATGGCTTTTCAGCTTAGAGGACAACTTGGCTCTCACAAGCACGCACACACAATCCATAAAAACACACACGGATACTGTAAGTGAGAGATTAACAAGTGATGAACAGACATTCTGGATGGCCATGCTTACTTTGGATTAGAGTGAGGGATGAAAAACAAGACGAGAGGGATCAAGCCAAGGACTAGAAGGAAAAGTGTTTTGGTATATCAGAGGTTCATCTCTCAAACAATGTGCTCGAATATGTTATGTATACAACCCAGACATATATGAAAATACAAGGTCAAAAACACTTTGGGACTGGTCTTCCAGCATCTGAGGAACTCTTTGCAACCTTGAGTTTAAATGGCGTGTATGACGTGTATGACGTGTGGCGTGTATGACGTGTTTTTATATCTGAAAGCATCAAGTAAGCAAGTGAACCTGAATCATAATTTGTCGGGCTGCTCACCGTGTTTCAGGGATTATAGACAAAGGTGTCTGTACACAGTGAGTTCAATGTGTGACGTTGTGTAAATAGACGTGGATGTGTGTGTGAGAGAGGCATAATATCTGCTCAGGGTGCCATGCTTTGATGCAAATGTCAGAACACATCAGCACACTTCACACAAAAAAACCGGCGCACAGCTGCCATGAAGTTCACAGAGAGCCTGTAGAGTGGATGTGTGTGTCTTCATGTGCACGTTAGTACGTATATACATGTGTACGCGCGGAGGCTCGCGTGCTAGTTTTTGTTTTGTGGTGCTTTTGCATGCGAGTGTTTGCATGGGGAGATGTGTTAGAGGCGGAGGCCGACACGTCCCTCAGCCTGTACAGCGGCAGGGTCTGAGACAAGGTCAGGACCCTGTCTGTCAAAACACACCAGCAGACACATGCAGCACAGACCCTCAGGGCAGGAGATACCAGACAGGGGAGGGGAGACAAGAATGGATAGATAAGGGAGCACAGCGCAATGGGAGCGAGGGGGGGGGGAGAGATGAGGACCGAGGGCATGGCGGTACCAGGAGAAACAAGAGGCAAGAGACCTGAGGCGGGGGGGGAAAGGGAGGTAAGGGAGCAAACAGTTAGCATGACAAGAGGGTGAGGGCAAAGCAGGGGATAAATCATTGAGAAAAGAGTGCGAGGAAGTCGGGAGGCAGAGGAAGTGACAGGAAAATAGGAGGTTACGGATAAGAGGGTAATTGGGCAGAAGGGTATGCAAGGAAGGAGAAATAGTTGAAGAGGCTCACAGAATAGCCCATAAAGCATGCGGTAGGGGGCAGAGGAAGAGGCATAGAGAGCAAGAGAGGATATTAGTGAGGAGTGCAGTTGAAAAAAAGGGTTCTTGAGATTAAGGGAGCAAGGCAGTGGTGGAAAACTGCAGCTAGGACATACAGCAGGATGTCGTGGCAGAATGACAATTGAGCAAAACAGCAGAAGTGCAGAAATAAAAGATTTAAGTGGACAAGTCAAGTTATATGAGGGACGTGAGGAGACAAGGAGGCATTAAGCCATCGGAAAAAGGGAATAAGGAAGAAAGAAATAATTGGCAGGGCTGCATGGGGGCAAAGTCGCATGACTTGATTTCATTTCCATTACGTTTTTTGAAATGTCACAGATGTGACAAAAATGAAATGGCAGATGCAAAGTAGTTCTTTTTGGAGGGCCTCTTCTTTTTGGATATGTATTCAACGGTAACAATCTCCATCACCTTTGTCCAGTTCATTTCATACTGTGGTAGAGCACAGAACTGCGGATATATATGGAATTGGGCCAAAAAGCTTGGAAAGAAAGGAAAAGGAAGGAACGTATTGTCATACTCGTGGTAAGAGGAAAAGCTCGAGAAAGAAGAATAGGAAGCGTAGAGTAAGAGAAGAGACGGCTGGAAACTGGGAGGAAATGAAAAGAGGAGAAAAAAGGTGGGGGTGGGGGGTAGGGAAGAGGGGGATGCAGGCATGCCAGTGTACCTGGGCATCAGCTGTGTGAAGGGAGGAAGAGGAGAGAGAAGAGGAGGAGGAGGAAGAGTGGAGAAGGAGGTCGAAAGCAGCACCACGCTAGCAGGAGTTACATTGGAGGAGCTCGAGCAGACGCTGCTGGGAAAAAAACAAGGGGGGGCAGGGGGGGGGGATGCCGATGTCAGTTCTGGCTCTTTTCATTACTTTGAAAAAATCGTCAGTCAACACAACTTTGGAGTGATGAAAAGATTCCTCTCTCCTAAATAGAATCATAGGAATAGGATTGATGCTGCCAAGAAAAACATGCTAAAATGATTAAATAAATATACATGGCTCACCAAAACTATGACAAACATTATTTTGAAAATATTGCCTTATGTTTATTTAATCCTACGCTAAACAGGTTCCAACTTTTTGCTGTTGACTAGAATTATTCACCAATTTTTATTTTGAAATGTCAGACTTCTGAGGAACCAGATGGCAGAAAGAAAAGTTTGGGCGCCAAAACACTGAAGATTCTTGCCAAATTCTGTCACTGTCAGATTAGCCTCATCAAATGTTAATTTTGGCACAAAATGTCATCTTAGATTTAGACGTGGTCCTTTTGGGGAGAATTTTAAATTAAAACTGAATTTAATTTGAACGCATAGTGCCTAATAATGGAAAGGAAATATATAGCCTAGTATTTTTACTAGCTGTCTACATAGCAATGCAAAACTTAAAGGGTAATGCAAGCCATCTTCTATATTTTTGTAAGCACCACAAATTAAAATAAAAAGTTGTCGTAATGATTTGGGCCGACAGAATTAGCACTATCCTTTTCTACTTATACAATATGTATTTGAATGGATTTCTCTGCTTTCCAGCTGTGGTTTTCAAGAAAGAACATTAAATCAGAAGAAAGGAGTGTAAATGAGGCCTATTCATTGCCTGCTCTTTCAATTCCATACCTGACTCCTTCTCTAAAATTAAGTGCCGTTATGGAAGTAATATGAATAATAGGTGAGACAGCAGGAATAGAATCCTAGATGACAGGCGGAATACAGCAGAGAGGAATTAGGCCAGAAAAAAGATATGTAGGGCAAAGAAATACAAAGAAATTGGGGAATTTCATAAAGTTTAATCCATGACTTCAAAGCGGTAGCAACATTGTGTTTTGTTTCATTGTTGGGAGATGCTCCTTGAAAATCAGGATTACTGTGAAACCTACGGAAGCCTTTTCCTCCATTTTCTCGCACAAAAGGTAAAGACGTCTTAGGTGTGTCTTAAGACATCAATAACCAGATCCTTACTTTCAAATAAAGTAATGATTTATTCATTTGCCACTTATGAATATTAAATGGCGGCCCATTTCCAATACTGATGCAGAGCCCTTTGGAATGACAGGTTTAGCATTTAAATGGAGGATGTCTGTGTCTGCTGATGGAAGGGGGGGGGGTCTGTGTGAATCACAAGAGCACTGATCTGTACGAGACACGGAGGAAACTACACCAGAGCGCTCGGGACCTTTTCTCTTGGCCGTCCATCTCTCCCCCGTCTGATTTTTTCCCCTTTCGCATCCCACTTTGTGCCAAGAGTCAACGGCCCTATGAAATGACCCTCTGCTTTACTTCCTGCTTCTTTGCTTTCCCCTTGATCTCCTCTCCGTCTCCCGCGGCTGATAACTTGCAACCCGCTCGGGAGACTGAACACACACACACACACACACACACACACACACACACACACACACACACACACACACACACACACACACACACACACACACACACACACACACACACACACACACACACACACACACACACACCACACACACACACACACACACACACACACACACACACACACACACACACACACACACACACACACACACACACACACACACACACACACACACACACACACACACACACACACACACAACACACACACACACACACACACACAACACACACACACACACACAACAACACACCAGTGAAGGGAAAACAATCCACTGACCAGTGGAGCCTGGGCTTCCCTGGAGAATGTTTGGGCAATGCCCTGGAACTCTGCCTCTATCAAAGTCGGTCAGGCACCAATGGTGTGTGTGTGTGTGTGTGTGTGTGTGTGTGTGTGTGTGTGTGTGTGTGTGTGTGTGTGTGTGTGTGTGTGTGTGTGTGTGTGTGTGTGTGTGTGTGTGTGTGTGTGTGTGTGTGTGTGTGTGTGTGTGTAAGAGATGGTATGAAGTGTCAAGATAAGGTATCAAAGAAAGGAAAATACAAAGTCCTCATTCCTTGTTGTCCAATCATAACTTTCCTCGGTTTCTATTCCCCACAGTGTTCTACTTGAGAGTTCTGAATAACATTTTGACTCTCACTGAAGACCCTGGCAGCGAGGGAAGTCCAGGACACACTGACCATGAAAGCCACATCAGAAGTGCAACGGCATGGCACTTCAACCAGGCAAATAATAGTATGAAGTATTATACAGAATATCCAATTATTTTGGAAAGCTGCACTGGATGTGTTGTGTGTTAAAACACTTGAATTCTGATCTAAAGAGCAAATCTCGCAAACAATGGGTTAACAGCAATGTTTGAATCAAATATTGACAATACTGAGATTTTTTGCATTGTAAATGTAGACATTTCTATACCCCCAATAACGTTCCATTTCCAAAGTAAAAGATACTTAACAAGCTAAGAGGTCAGTATCTCCAGTTGAGGAAGCATTTAAAAAAAAATGGCTGCTAGTACTTCTTGCCACTGACATGTCTTGCCATGAAACAGCAGATTTGCCATTTCAATCTGCATATTAACGTGTTCTGTTTCTATAACAGTGAGATACCTGAAAGACTTGTCACAGGTATTGATTGACATTCTCAGTAGCCATTAGCGCTAAGTGTGTGTTACGCCCTCTACGCCAAATGTCAAACAGGCATTAGTAGCACTGTTGTCGAGGACTTATCGTTACCAGCATTTCCCTAACAGCCAGCAGATTTTACCGTCAAATCGGACAGTGATGATGACAACCATGAAGAAATTGTTTTTGAGACCACTGACTATTCTTCAAGCCGGCATTTTTCTGAGGAAGTGTGTTTTAATAAAAGCTCCAATGCATTCCTTAAGTGAGTGCTGTCGCCTGTGTCCTTCATGTGTGTGCCGTGGGACTCATTTGCATGTGTCTGTGTGAGTGGGCAGATCGATGTAACCGAGACCCCTCCAGCTGTGGCCGGGGGCTGGCTGTCTTTGCAAACAAGAGAACATGGTAATTGAGGCATCAAGCCATTCCCTCTTTTGTCTCTATGCAAAACACGACGAGCAAGTTAATGGTCCAGCGGCTATGAACAATGGAGACCACTTTCAATGAATGCAGTGATGCAAATAAAAGGGGAAAAAAGATAAGTTGTATTATTCATTACTAGGCCATGCACAAGGGAACGACGCTGCTTCCCTCAAAGACACAATGCAATAAAATACTTATATGTGTGTGGTAAGCATTTCTTTTTGCATATTCTGTGCTTTTTCCACCGCAGTCTTTCACATGGATGCAGGTGTGTACATCGATTGCCACATATTTCTCTATAGATGTTTGACAGACAGCATTTTTACGGTGCTTCTGGTAGTGAATATAACCCATTTTTACACCTGGTTGACTCCATCATTGCAATGTATGTGTCTATGTCAAGGTCTGATGGTTTCTTTATCACAGAGGTACCACGGAAAAAAGGTCTTCTTTGCTTTATCCGAATGAGAGATGGCAGCGATGTTGATCAGTGTGTGTAGAAAACGGAACAAGATAAAGCACACAAACAATGCAAACAAATGCTTTCACAATGCAGCCCAAAATGAAACGAAAAAAAGGTTTCTAGACATGTGTGTTACTGTGTGGGAGTAGATGTGTGCTCCCTGTGTGTGCTTGCATGTGTGATGGAGTGTACACTATCAATTCTGTAAGTGTGCTATCTGCGTGGGTGTGTGTGAGCCGGGCTGGCAGAATATAGAATTGGACGAGAGTCAAAGAGCAAAGTGTTTGCAACAGCAAGAAGAAATGCACTCTCGCCCCGTTTATCTGAGAAACTGAATAAAACATGCAAGTGTATGTCAGGATATACTCAGTACGGTAAACAAGACAATAAAACATGCATTAATGTGACTGAGATTCAAAGAAATGGCAGCATTGAATTGAGACGTTAAGTATCCTGCCTCATGCTGTCTATTGTTTGTAGTTATGCTTCTTTTAAGGTCTGTTGTTAACGTTTTATTGTTTGTTACTTTGACTGTTTTTATGGTCTTACTTTGAATACTTTTGTATTCTTGTAAAGCACTTTGTGATTTTGTTTTATATGTGATGTTATACTAATTTAAACTTCCTTTCTTACTTCCAGTCTAATAGACTAATAAACCTCAAACACCAATTCATTAATGTGAAACCTAATGCTAAAACTGAAATAAACTACATTTAATATTTAATGTTTGTCTGTATCGTCTTTAGTATTGTACCGGACCATTACCTGACTGCAAGATAGCCCCCAAAAACTAACTTTTAAAGTAGTTCAACATTACATTACATTACATTACATTACATGTCACTTGTTAGACGCTTTTATCCAAAGCGACTTACATACTCAATACTGTGGGCAATCACCACAGGAGCAATTTGGGGTGAAGTGTCTTGCCCAGGGACACAACGACATGCTGACTGCAGTGGGGTTTGAACCTGATCCGAACACCAACGCACAACCCACTGCACCACAAGCCTCCCAACAACATGGGTTAGATGCAGTGGTGTAAAGTATCTTCAGGAAAATGTACTCTAGTACTGTACAATTTTGAGGTACTTTACGTGAGTATTCCCATGTTATGCTACTTTGTACTTCTACTCCATTTATTTAGTACCTTTAGTTACTTTACAGATCTGGATTAATAACGTGAAATATAATCAAGTGTTAAATCAGACTTTAGTTACACCTGGAGTAAATTCACAAGCTACCCTGCAGTATACAAAGTCATTACAACTAGCTGCACCTTTACCAGCTTTGATAACACTTTAATGATCAATAATTATAATCAAAACATATTATACATATTATTCTGAAATGGACCAATCTGCAGAATGAGTACTTTTGATACTTTAAGTATATTTTGATGCTAACACGTTTGTACTTTTACTTGTGTAACATTTTGAATGCAAGACTTTTACTTTTTACACTCTGGTACTTCTACTTTTACTAAAGAACAAGATCTGAATACTTCCTCCACCCCTGGTTAAATGTTGTAGCTAATGCTGCTACCAGAGAAGAATCCAATATTCTGTAGCTATTTCACTTTCATACAGTAAGTTCTGGCCTGGTAGGTTCAAAAGCGCACTTTTACAAACCAACCAAAATTCATTTGGTTTTGATCAATCAGAGTTGTAGACAAAAAGCCTATATGTATTGGGAATGTGTAGCAATGTTCTCTAGTGATCTCATTTCTAAATATCTACTCAAATTAAAGTGTACTAAGCATCCACTTTAAATAAGAAATAAAGCCTCTTACAGTGCTTGCTGCAGTCTGAAAGCTCTTTTCCTTCAGCCACATTTAAAGAATCTTGATGTAATTAAACTGAGCTGTATGTTGTCAGTCAGTCATTTTGACTACAGGATGTCCAACTATTTGCTTCAACTCAATGCTTTCTTTAGATGTCTCTGTTTCGTAATAGTCTTATCAAGACATAGTGAAACAATGACTTTGGACTGTCCACTCTAATTATAAAAAGCACAGCAGAGTTTCTGAAAGGCAAACTACTGTATGGGTCAGAGTAAACGGTGTGTCAGCGGTTATGTAAGTGACACCGCTTTAACCTCTCTCTTGTCTTCTTTGCTGTTTCACAATTCCCAGTTCTCTATGTGAAAACTAATTAGATAGCAAAGAACTATGAAGTACCGGCCAAGAAAATGATCAAAGAAGGTTTTGACCCTGCCAGCGTTTCCCCCTCGACGCAGACTGCACCATTATCCGGCTGATTTCTTTAAGTAGCATATTAAACGAAGTGGTTATCATGTCATTTCAGCTATTCTCCCGCCATTGCTGCACACTCCTCTCACAAAGAAACTTCCTCTGTCGCTGGATTACCGTAATCTGGATTATAATGGAGTATCGTGTGACAGTTGTCTGAATATGCGATTGAGGCTTTGATTGAGTGTTTGTACACATGTGCGTGTGAATGTATGTTTGTGTAGCATGCTCGGGGTATTCAAATCCTATGGAGCCTATAGTGGATAATACATGTTTAGCATCTGTGTGTACATTCATACCTCCTCCAGATGAGCAGACCGACCCCCATGGAGAGCAGCATGATGAGGGCGGCCACGGACACCACCACGATGATCACCACTGGATTCTGTTCGCTGGACGCCAGTGCCACTAGAGATAATAAGAGAACACACTGATTACACACGTGAACAATAACACGAAGCTTAACTGGAATGGGTGTGTAGCTAGAACATTAACAGGAGATGAGATTAAATAATAAAGCCATGACCTACAACGCCCAATCCATTTCATAGGCAGTTGATCATAGTGGATTGCAAAACGGCTTTTCAGTATTTTTCAAAGCTATGACTTCAACCCCCCTAACCCTAATACCAAACTTGAACCTCTTATTGTATTTGACACTGTTTGAAAAGCATTTACAAACAAACTGCTTCACTAAAAGCCCTAAAAGGAGCATAGATAATATGCGCCATCTGTTTCAGTCCTGCTGTTTCAATAATATTACATTATTTTCATTATCTGATGAAGTTTGGAAAGTTTTCCAGCTGTATTATAATTGTAGATTTTCACATTTCCATGTTTTTAATAATCAATTTGGGGACTTCTTGTCCATGTTGGTTTAAAAGTTTTAAAAAGTTTCCAAAGCCAATCCCCCTAGACACAATGATTGTATTATTTATTCATTCAAATTCAGTTTGTTGTTGACCTAGTAATCGCTTGTATAATTATTAAATACAGCAATGTCATCTGCTGTTTCCAAGCTCCAAAATGGACCGATCTGCCATGCTTACTATCCTGGAATGCAGCCCAGCATGCAGTAGCCGGTAATAAAACACACATTTGAACACCTGAATGCAAACACTCACAGAATAACATCTCCCCCTCAGTATTGTAGCATTGCACCTGCCAGTCTTTATTGTTTGGTTACAATCAACCAACAAATATTTAACATTGACTAGTAAAAGTCACGTTCATGTGATCCTAAGTGTATATTCAGTGCGCTGTTGCTGCCTTGTGGGTGTCAGGTCACTCATTTGACTCTTGATCCAGCCCGAGGCGAATAAAGCAAACTGAATATGCATGGTCCAAATAAAAGGAGCCCTGCAGCTAGGAGCCCTGACCCTGTAGCAAAACTAAGAAGTGCAAGACCCTGTTCGCTTGAAAACAAATAAATAATCTTTAAGAGCTGGTCTTTGGCCAACTGTTGAAGATAGTGGTTGTGCAGGGCAGCTCTCGGGTGAGTTACGCTGTGAATGTTCAACAAATCCCCGTTCGTGGATGAATTAAAGGTGAAATCATTTATGAACAGCAATAGGGATAAAACCCACATAGACACACACACCCTGAGGTGACCTGGGACACGGTATCTACTCGCACAAAGAAGAATAATTTCACAGCTTACTGGTAAAATCGTGCGTGTTCACTCATAATCTCAGACATTCTCCGTCTCTGCCTATCTCTCACTCTAGTCTTATTGTGTGGGCTGGCCAGGTGCCTTCACAACCCCCCCCCCCCACATCCCAATCTGCCTGGTGGTGCTGAGACGAGGGGGTGGAGAAAGTGAGGAGGCGTAAAACGGGCTACTCACACTCGCCAAGTGTCTGCAGCTCGAGGGGGGCGCTGTACGCTCCGTAGTCGATGGGCGCCGGAGAGGACGACGACGACGATGAGGAAGATGATGAAGAAGTTGCGGAGGACGAAGAGGCGGAGGATGACAGAGGGGAGGAGGACAGGGACGAGGAGGGGGCCGGCGTGGAGAACGGGCGGATGAGGAAGACATATGTGGTGCCGGGTTTGAGGTTGTTGACACTGATCCGTGTGGCGGCTGTCTTCACAGTAGAATAACTCTGATCCTTTTGTTCCTGCGGAGACACAAAGTGAAGTGAGAGACAGAGAAAAACAAAGGAAACAGGGGGAAAAAGGAGTGAGACGAGTAGGTGGAATCCATTTGTGAGATGCCTTGTTCATTTCCATGGCACAGTAACGCCTGGGGCCTTGCGAGACTGTTTTGTAACCAAATCAAGAGCTTTTGAACAGTTTTTCAAAGTACCAGACAAAACTTTTCAGACATTTAGCCATGCCAAGCTGAGAACTTCATTAACCAGCTTTAATAAAGAAGTGTGCGCTTTGAAAATAAATGATGAGAAAACCCAGACATTAATAAAAAAAACACTATTCCTTAGAGAGGCGCTGAGAAAATAAATCAAAGATGGTGCTAATTTCTTTATCTCCGTTACAATGACTCACACTAGGTGACACTCTGGGGGCAGTGCGTAGGTGACACATTAACATAATTACTCCACTTGTTGTCCGATATGTTTGTTTCCAGCCTTCTTTCAACAAATAGTCCTTATTGTATCTCTGCACGCCGTGCCTCTGCATGTCAACGAGATCACTCTAATCAACATTGAGCCTCTGTTACAGCTTTGATGATAAATCTGATTTAATAGTCACGGTAAAATAAGAGAAAGGGAGTTCCTGAGTGGGCACAATGCTACTTACATTATCTTTATTGCCTTTTGATTTTAATGCGAGAGAGTAGCATTGCACAAAGAGGGTAGAACGAAGTGGAACTAACGTCAGGGGGAATGACATAAAGACAGATTAACCGGAGAGAATGGCAAATCATGTTTAATGTGGAGTGAGCTGATATAGCATGTGACACAGAGAAGAGGAAGAAAGCAGAAAAGATAAGTGGTGGGAGGAAAACAACAGCAGAGTCAGCGATGACACTCAGAAATGTCAAATTATGAATAAACTGTTATTTAATCCTTATGAGTCATGCCAATTGTCGGCCATTATTGCTGTAAATGCAGTGTGTAATCCAGATAAAACACTTTTTTTTTGATAAATTACAGTGTTATTGAATGTTTAACAGCTCTATGAGGCTCATCGTTTTAAAAGTGCAAAAGGGGGAAGAGACAAAAAGGCTGTATACTGACTAAGCAAAGCCATATTTCATACTTTAATAGGATATTTGGTGCAGTGTACTGTAGTTGTATTGCCTTTTCATTTCATGGCCTGCCACCAATTTTCCTGTCTAACTCTTATTCTTCATCTATCCCTCACCCTCTCTCTGTTTTTCTGCCTCCCTCAGTGGTATTTTCTTCTGCATCAAGCCCCACAAAGCATCTTCTTTCATTTCTTTCCATCCCTGTGCTCTGACAAGCATCTTTCCACCAAGTCATCTTCCCCTCATCTGTCCCTAATACGCTCTCTAACCTTTTCTCTCCCTCGGTTATCACACAGGCTACCTCATTCTTTCCAAATTCTCTCCTGTATCCCTTTTGTTATCTCTTTTCCTCAAGTCTCTCCTCACCCATCCCTCCTCGAAATATTTCCCTCGAAATCTGTGCGAGTGAAGCAGTGAGAAACAGGGCTTTATTAAATATGGTGAAGCATAGAGAAGAGAGGGAGGTGAGAAAATGGGTGCGAGTGTAACACAGCCCAATACAAAGACCTGGAGTTGCCAATAAACGTGGCGTATGAAAATTGAGGAGTGTTAGCGTGACAGCTGTGGTTTACGTGCATGACAGATTTACTGTGAAGACTAAGGCTTGTCGACGGGGCGGCCACAATCTGACTAAGTGCTATGTTAAATGAGCCAGATAAGGCCGATGAAATGACAGTGTTTATCCATAAAAGCAAAAGAAAATGTGGCAGTAATATGGACTCAGGGTAATACATAATTGGCCCTTGAAATACATAATTTTTTACAACAACTCAGTAGTTAGAAATTAAAGAGAATAATTTGATCTTGTGGAAAGTGTTGTAAAGATACCACATCTCATTTTCTCCGTCCTCATTTCAACATGAATGTAGGTACATTAACAATAACTAAGCTTTCTGGCACACTAGCATGGTGCCCCAAAGCATATCGAACATGAAGATGTTGGTGTTTGCTGTAGCCATGGATACCAACTGGAACCCAAGTGATACTAGATTTGTGAAGTTGTATTGGATATTAATAGTAAAGTGATGTAAAACAAAGCGAATACTCATATATTGGCTTTTAATGACTGTTTTTAAAAGGACACGTTACATAAAGATAAACCTTAATGCTATTTAACAAAACAGAAGCCTTTGGTTGAAAGAAGCAAGCATTTCGGAGACAATGAGAAGTCTAATCAAAGGCGATGCATTATGGGAAATGTAGGATTTGGTATATGGAGCATGACCCATACAGACAGGGTTTCTGAACTGCAGGTTCTTATTTCATAGTGATCCCTGCATGCACCGATACGGTTACATCTGCAATAAGATAACACCACAATGTATAATTTGTGTTCTTATACAAAATGGATAAAACCCCAAAACATAATCTCTTAACTTTTATATGTCTTTATTTCTTTAGTTTAGTTGCTGGATTCTAACACATGAGTGTGAAGAAACATGGTTTACTGGATATAAAAGTTTTGGTTAGTTATTTAGCAGAGCAGCAGTAGAAAAAGACTGAGATGCAACAGTTTATTTACCTTCTCGTAGTATTTGACCTCGTACTCGGTGCGGCTGCTGTTTGGGTAGGAGGGCTGCCTCCACACCAGGGTGAGGCCCTTCTGCTCGATCTTCTCCGCTCGCAGCTCGCTGATCAGAGAGGGCGCTACAAAGAGGTAGAAAAGAGGGAGAGAAAGAAGAAACATGAAGCCGGGGATTTTGGTCTCATTCAATATAAATACAATAGCTTGAAGAGTGTTCTCAGAAGCAGTCTTTTACTCGCTTGTATTTCCAGTTTTCCGTGCAGGCAAAGGTCAAGAGAGGGATACGGTACAGCTCTGAAGATTAGTGCAAGGAGGAATCGCCAGAAAGCAGGCATCGATATATATCTATACAGTGTGCCCTATGGTATTCATCTGAGGCGAGACAGCAAAAGAAAAAGAGAGCAAATATGGATTGAGGGCATAAGAGGACAGTTGGGGAAGTCCAACATGATGTAAGGAGAGGGAGTTACAAAATATAAAGCAGAGAGGCACGATTATTTATTGAAAAGGAGCCGTGTCAGAGCAGACAGCTTTATCGCAATCCATGAATGGCGGACGTTTCTTTGTCTGAGTGTACACGTGGCATTGAACAGTGCTCGGTACATTGGGACTGACAATGGATCAATACAGTTATGGATTGACTGACAAGACAGTATCGACACCAGACTAACGGATGGAGACATTCGCAATCCGGAGTCCCTGTTTCCTCCCCATGTCTCTCAATTAAAACCTTTTCAGACTCAATCCAGGAGAGCCGCAGTGAAATTCATCCTGACAGATATTACATCTCTTATTGATCACAATAGAGGAACAGAATAGAAAAATGAATGATACAGGACAAAGCTTTCCAAATGTAGACGCAGTGTGTAATGGTTCGCTAAGCAAACAATTTCATTACTGAGGAAAGCCCAGTTCTTTGTTTCTCTGTCAACATATGACAGGCGTCGCGTAGTTTGATAAAAGGCAAGCACCACCCACTCTTGCTTAAGTGCTAATTAGGCCATGTATAATGAAGTAGCAAAATGGGTTGTCACTCAAAAATACTCAGAAAATAAAGTGGTTCAGTTATTTTAGTCAAAAGGCCTTTGTTGGGGAGGAGCCCTTGGCCATTTAGGCTTTGGAAGGGTTACGTTTCCTGTCATCGCTTTGGTCCTTGAGGATAATTATTTCTGTTTTTTTACTTACTTTAACGACTTTAAAAAAGACAATGGCTGCAGGACTTTCTTCGTCCATTTTCCTTTTTCTGTCCCTGGACCACTTTCTGCTTTGTTTTCATTCCATCCCTTTTCATTCTCCTCTCTATCACCCAATCAGTCGACGGCTCATCTTTCTTGCTATTTCTCACTTCCTGCTCATCTCTTTCCTGACCTTTAACCATCAATTCATCTCTTTCCCCGGTGAAAACAGCCACACTAATGAATAAGTTCTGCCTGTCACTCACAAGAACAAAACTATGTGTTCACACACACATTTTAAACACACAGCATCTGCAGCTCCTTCAGTCCTTCTCTGGAACAGTAGGGTAATATAGTCATTTTAGGTAGCAGATCAAAGACACACTCGATCCGCCTCTCACTGTCCATCTCCATCCGTCTGTTTTTGATGTCTAAAACACAGTTATTATCTATTATTCATGGTGACACTCTGAATATGTGTGGCATTGCTTCTACCATTGTATTTAATGTCTGTCTGAGTTTTTTTTCTGTTGCAAAACTGCAAATTCAGAATAATTTAGCCATATTATGCTTCCTTTCCTGTAGTATATTATATTGGTTAATGTGTTTTTTAATGATCTGCAAAGGCTCACATCCCAAAGTTCCCTCCAGAGGGAGTTTCTCTCACACACTCCCCCCTGCTGAAACTCCTTGATTCGAATCCTATGTTTAATTCCGCCACATAGTGACATCACTAAGTAACAATCGTGCTTCTATTGGCTAGTGCTCCAACACATTGTACGTGATAGGTTTATAACAATCAGAACAGAGCCGGCCAGCTAACCAATCAGAGCAGACTTGGCTCTGGTTTCAGAGAGAGGGTGAAAAGAGGTGCTGCAGTATGTAGGCATTATGAGGAAAATAAGGCAAAAAATATGAATATGAACCTGAAAATGAGAATTATAGGGCCCCTTTAATAAGTCAATATGACATTTTATACAGTGAGCATTTAGAAATGATTATGTAATTTCTGTTCAGGCTCATTTTTAAACTGATTTTGTAAATAACATAAGAAAAAACATTAGCATTCTATATTGGCACAATATGCCTAATTAGAAGTCCCTAAAGAACCTCACAAGCTGCACACTTTTCTTGTGCTTTGTTCGGCATTTCTCTCATCTTTGACAAGACACGAAGACTAAAGTAGAGATGAAATAGATAAAATAAACAAAGTGAGATTATAATATATGTTGTAATGATGCATAAAATATACCCTCAGAAGACAACTGGCTCAAGGGGTCACTGTAATGTTTGTGCTGTAGTACTATTTCCATGCCTGAATGTAAAGAACTTATAAATACATAAATACATATTCAGTGTGTGTTCAGAAAACGCTAATCGTGCCAATTAGTGGCTCTCTGAAAGTTGGACTACTTTGCTATGAGGAATCAAGTCTTTGTAATTCCTCCACATAATGAAACATAAGCGGCAGATATATACAGTTAGCCGCAGGGGGGGAGGGGGGGGGGGGGGGGTTGTAGAAAAGAAAGGCATTGAACGAGAAGGAAAGATGCTAAGGAACAGTAAACAGGAATGTAAATAAACACTCAGAGGGATTATTTTGAATGAATAATGAATATGTACAGGCATTTATTATACAATGTAGAGGAAATAGACTAAAGCATGGCTCATTAGAAAATAAAGCAATTACTGAGAAACAGGGAGAAAAGGAGGATATATAAAGTGCAGAGTAGAGATGGGCAGGTGTTTAAGGACAAACATGAAAACAAAGTGTCAAGTCCTGCAATCCAAACAGTGAAAAGAGAAACTCAGTTTAACAGTCAACCATGAACACAGTGTAAACCGGCTCTCTGCATCTACAGGCTATGTCTGCTTCTTTTTCCCCTTCCTTGTGTCCTGAATTATGCATAGGACTGGCGGCCTGCCTCCAACCAAGTCACATCACAGCTCACTCTGACACTTAAAAAACAGGTGAGCACAATTAACACGACACACCACACACACACACACACACACACACACACCACACACACACACACACACACACACACAACACACAACACACACACACACACCACACACACACACACACACACACACACACACACACACACACACACACACACCACACACACACACACACCACACACACACACACACACACACACACACACACACCACACACACACACACACACACACACACACACACACACACACCACACACACCACACACTTGAATGTGTTAGTGTGCTATACAAGCGCTAATATGTATTATACTTTCATATTTAAGTGGAAGTTACCAATCCTTAGGTCTTACCTGCTCTTTTTGAAGCTCTTAGACTTTATTTGAAGAAATGCCAGCCAGAATAATAATTTGTTATCGATAATATCTAGAACATTTATTTTAGGAAAAAAATGTTGCATAGAATGGTGAGAATCTGTTAGGGATCAACTGCAAAATATCAGTATCTATGAGAAATGTGGACACAACTAAGTAGCAATAGTTCCTGTGTGGAAATAGTACTTTCCAAGAAACACACACACACACACTCAGCTGGCATATTGGCAGATACTGTGCGCCCACACACACAGCACACACACAAGTGAATGGCAGCAAATGGCCGGTAGTGTTGGTTTTGGCGTTGTATTTGAAAGGAAGAAAGTCAATGCCGAATGCCTTCAGAAAAAGAATTTACACTCACACATGTTCACAAACACACACTATGATTTTCACAAGTAATATAGAAGATGAGATGGCCTAGTGGCCAATAAGCCTTCCCAGCTCTGCTGTGGAAGTACGCAGCGGACGTTTTAAAGCCTCATCATACAGCAGAAATCACATGGCAGACACACTGATAGGCACTTGTCACAAAGACATACAGCTCCTGATAGGATCCAAAGCTATGCTGTACACATACCAATCACGGACAGAGATAATGATCTGTACACTTCAAAGGAAGGCTGTGATGAGAGCCAAAATAAGTAAGGCAGGAGGAAGTATAACAGATTTGGCACAAAATTGCAGAAAGGGAAGCACACAGCTGTACCTCTCAGTGATTACACGTCTATAGGCTGTGAGTAGAAGCTAGGCTGTGTATCATTTAGCTTTTATAGATTCAGACTCTGCTCGTCAGATTCAGTTTTTGTTGAATCGGAGTGCATTTCTATATCCTTTGTCCGAATCCCAAAGCCAGACAAGTGGAATTTCTTATCCTTTTTTTAATGAATGACATGGTATTTTAAGATTATCTTTGGTTTTAAAAAGAAAAACATCCATACTGTATATGCTAGTATGCACTCGTTAAACATAAGCAATCTTTCCTGTTGAATGCATATTGAGCTGAATATTTTAAATATATATATACTTGTAGTAAAAAAGGTGCTTAAAACTTATAACATTAAATTGCTTCATTATAATAGATGGACTTTTTCCCTTTTATAAAGGTGTTTTCCAGTGATAAAAGTAATAGCAGAATGTTAGTAGTCAATACCAATTCCGGTGAATTCCATGATCTTAGATTCCCAATTCAATATCACGTTAAAAAAACAAATTCCATGTACTTCAACACTCCTTGTATCCGTTTGTTTTCACTAACAAAACCGGAGTCCAATCAACATTTCTTTTTCTTATCTCTCTTTTATAAACTCTATTATTACCGTGACCAAAGGATAATTTTCACAGAATCGGCTTAAACACATCGTAATGTAACTAAATGAAACCTCCATCAACGTTAGCTTTTAGCTCTTTCACTTGGCTCAGCATGACAGCTAACAGCTAACAGCTAAAAGCTAATGCCAACTAGCTTTCCTTGTGCCTAGTACAACTTGGATATAATGTTAGCAATGTAGCATTCTCAGGGGAAGTTTGGGTTTCCCCTGGACGTGTCAATAGCGATTTTACTGCAAGATTATTGTATGCCTCAAGCCCTGATCCCCAGCACCTAC